ACAAGGGCAGCAATTGAGGAAGGAATAGTTCCTGGTGGTGGTACTGCTTTACTTCGCTGTATTCCAGTCTTAAAATCTCTGGAGACCAAAAATGAAGATCAACGCACAGGTTAGTAAATTGTTCGCTAAATTATTGATATGTTGACAGTCAAGAAATAGACGATTACATAGTGATGAAAGGTACTTAAATCTAGCTTAAGGGCTTACGGACCGGTCTTGGTACAGCGTGGCAGCGAAGTGACGAGTTGTTAGGATGAAAGGTTGCACTTGTTATTTTGTCTCATTGCTTTGTGTAAACGTTCATCTTACCATACTCTTGCGATATATTGCTTTGCTCATTGTCAATGTCATCCTGTAATAATGTGATGACAAAATTATTAGCTCACCAGGTTTCCCTTGTGGCCAAGGTGAAGCATACGCTTGAGGGCGTCTGAATTGCTCAAGTGTTAATCCCACAATTATATGAGTGTTTTTAATCGGTTTGAGTGTTGCGTGACTGCGAAGTCGTGTGTCAAACGAACCGTAAACAAAATATCATTAAAACCTTTGTGCAGCCATTCGTAATTATGGTTGTTTGGGTATAATGAAACAATGTGATAGTTGGTCTGTAGGTTTGTGGCCGAAAAGCTACATGTCGTCAGACCAAACATCAAGTTTACGCAACCAGCGTCTTGTTTTTTCGTGGTTGTGCAACAAATGCATATGGTTAGTTTGTTTCCTATGAGTTGGGTTGTCCACTTTTTTCACGGTAGTGCAATGAAGTGCGTGTTACAAGGTACTGATGTTTGTTTGTAATCAACTCAGTAGGTGTGTTGGTGCTGCTTTCACCCCATTACTGTTCTGTCTGAATATGTAGGCAATATTTCCGGCTCATATCGAAGCCACAAGGTTTTCCTTGTGGTCAAAGTGAAGCCTAAATTTAAGGGTGTCTGAATTGCTTAATAGTGTTAAGCACGCACCTATATGAATGTCTTTATTCGGTTTGAGTGTTGCATGGCTGAGAAGTCATGTGTCAAACGAACCGTAAACAAAATATCATTAAAACCCTTGTGCAGCCATTCGTAATTATGGTTGTTTGGGTATAATGAAACAACGTATTTATTGAATTGTGTGCTTGTAACTGTAAGACGTTTCTTCGGAATGTTTGTTTATCGCTCAACGTTTTAGCGTGATGCATTGTAACTTCGTAATATCACCATTAGGTCGATTTATGCGCAATGAATAAACTTTACTTTTTATAATACTGTAATAGCTTATCTCATATTTTCGCGGATGTGTGTTATGTTTTTTGCTGCAGTGCAATTTTTAGTTAGTCTTATGATTCAGTTTTGTGTTTCCAGGTGTTCAAATAGTTTTGCGTGCACTTTCAACTCCCTGTTATACCATTGCACATAATGCCGGGGTCAACGCGTCTGTTGTTGTAGAAAAAGTCATGGGCATGGGCCCAAATATGGGTTATGACGCTCAGAATGATGTCTATGTCGACATGATCAATGCTGGGATTATTGATCCCACGAAGGTAAGTACATATCCTTAAGAAATTTTGGTGAATCTGGGTATGACCTGTTAAATTAATTTCAACCTCTTCCATTTAGGTCGTTCGAACTGCTTTGGTTGACGCAGCTGGCGTTGCTTCTTTATTGACAACTGCAGAGACCGTAGTAACTGATTTACCAAAAGAAGAGTCAGGAGCAAATGTTGCAGGAATGGGCGGGATGGGAGGTATGGGTGGCATGGGTGGTATGATGTAGTAGCGAACTACACATATTTTGCATTTTGACGATGTTTTTACATTGTAGTTGGTTAATTTTCGTAGATATTCCACTTGTTCAAAGTCCCTAATTTTCCCTCAAATATACATAATTGATTTGATTAATGTCGTTATGCTTCTACAGCCTTGAACATGTGTACAGAAGTATGCGTACAATTCTGCGTTTTTGTGCGACGAGGTCCAGGGATTTGTTAGTCGACGTATAACATGGCGTTTGTTGTGTGATTTCTACGTAGTCTGCCGTATATTAAATTATTTCCGCATTTAAGTTGACTTGGGAGGACTGTCCTGTCTTTATCCACTGTTTTGCCGGTATATGTAACCCGCCTAAGCGACTTCTGCTGTGTTGTTTTTTAGGGTTTTGCGGTTGTATTTAACTGGAAATGTTAAGTTTCATGTCTTGACGTAAGGGTGTAGGCCTAGCATACTTTGTGCGTTTCATTCACGACGGTGAGCTCACGTTTGCTTAGATCAGGAAGCTCGGTTGAGGGTTATGCTAACATGTGGCGGTGTCGTTTCCGCCCCTCGAACGGAAGATGGGTTTACCGCGCGGTGATCCGCTTGTCCTTCAGTTGGTGCATAGTAGCCACCAAGAACAGAATATACGGGGTTGCAATTATTTGTTTGAACACATTTTGGTAGGGACTGGCACCGAATGCATATGCGTCACACTTCCTTGGGTTTGTGTGAGGGCTGGGGTACTGCCCGGGCGCCAAAATCAGACTTCCGCTTCTCATCCTATCAGTTTCGTAAATAACCTTGCAGCAAGTAGACAGTGAGTAGGACTTCCCTGGCAGTTGCTGTATATGCATGACCATGTAAGATTATTTGAAGAGGGAGAGCGGACTCTCCCCACCCTCGGCCATATAAGGGCATTTGCGTGCAGTGCTTATGTATATGTACTAGCAAATAGGCAATGTTGATGTAATACTGAATTATTTATTCGAACACACAAATATTAGTACAAGGGGGGTGCCATATATATATGCCATACACAACGAGAATGGGAAGAGAAAAAAGGTAAGGTGAGTATAGGAAATATATGACGCCACAGATTAGTGTGTTGAGTGTAGTAATAATAATAGGGGAAAAGGAAAGGTATAACCAGGAGGATTCTTTCAGTTATGGATGATAACCACTTTTTTGAACAAAGTAAAATGTTACAGCCGGATCGCCACTGACTTCTGTTCTGAGCCATATATTATAACGTCTCTAGCCACTGTGTTGCACCATCTCTCAGACCCCAGCCGGGGGGTCGTGAAGGACCAACAGAAGCCAGCCCTTTGCAGCTTCCTTTCATACCACGACGCCATTTCGTGCACTGACCACCTCCGCTTTTTCCAACCAGTCCCAGAACCGGCAAATAATGCACGACGTAGAACATGTTCAAGCCACCGAGGTCGGTGTTTCAAGATGGTGACACAAATTACATTATTGTCTCCGTGCCCGAACACACGATGCTGAACCTCTGCATTACTAACATGGTGTTGCCACTGGATGTCAGCAGTCCTTCGGAGACAACGATGATCAAACACAGAGAGTCGTCTAACATCCTCAATTCGGAGAGGCCAGGTTTCACAAGCATGGCGGAAAACTGCTCTCACTGACGCGTTGTAGATCCGACCTTTCACAGCCAGACTGGCATCACGAAGGCGCCAAAGGTGGCCTAGGGCATGATCAGAGTCCAGATAAGTACTCCAAAATGAGCAGCAGTCTTTTACACAATCACGCCAGCGGGAGCTGATCGCGATGTGATCAATCTGAGTCCAGGCTTGAGATGCAGAGGGAGGACGCCAGGTGGCACATCGGCAATGACTGTGCCGGAAGTTAGTGCTAACCAGAAACAGGTTGTGGTCTTTGCACAGTTGCAGTAGACGGTCCATGTTATCTGTCCTGCGACCAACAAGTTGAGAGGGAGGACGGGCCCTCCCCATTCTTGGCCGTACCAGAGCATTTAGGGGCTTTACGTATGGTATGCCAGTTTGCGAGGTAGTAAAGTCATGGATTTGGCTGTTCTGCGTTGTATCCTCAGCCTGTGGGCTGATTAATTGGCTCAGAATTGATCGCAACAACGTATATGTATTCACTCTAACTATAGTTTAGTCCCTTATGTTTCCTACGGCTACCCATATCGTTGTACCATGGGGTTTGGCCTGATAATCTCATCTCGCTGTGTTGGTATAGTTTGATAACTCGAATTAATGTATATAAGTCCCGGGTTATACGTTACAAGTCACATTTTGATCATGTGTAAGATACCTGTATAATCTTCCGTTTAGGTGTTTTGCGATGTACATGCAAACGTGAGAATTTTTGGAAGAAAAAAACCAGTGGGGTCTTGTAAATGAGAATCCTGTTGAGCTGACAGTGAGATAAGACTATAGCGCAGTTGTCGAGATAAACAGCATCTGTTAAGTTGGAATCCCTTTTGAATGTAACTTTTATCAGTGATTCGAAATACAACTCGGCAAGTAAAAGCTTAACGGAATGTTTTCCTTTAGGAGTATTGCAAATTGTCTGTGCACTTTGAAGTAGATTATCTGAATTATAATCCTCAGTGCAGTGTGGTTGTTATTCGGACTCTAATTTAGTTACCTAGCAGGAAAAAATTAAATTTTCTAGTTATGATGTCGTGGTTAAGGTCTTGTGAGCCTAGTTTTATATGTACACTGCTAATGAGTCCGTGAATATTCACAAAATAGCTGTCTAGTAACCCAATTTTGTCAAGGTTTCTTTTAGATAAATTCGATTCCCTATTTTACGGACAAACGATACTTATTTATTCATCACGATGTTTATATTTATAAACGAGGAAAGAAAGCCCTGTCCTATTAGGGTTGTATTTTACAAAATCCTATCTTATAATTTGTTTAAGAGATTATAGTAAGCCCATTGAAATATTGTCTACTCAGTGTAATTTAGATATTTAATTCACTATGTAAAATTATGTGTGACTCAGATTGAGTCCATGTTTGGACATCAGTCTTTATCTACTCTCTTATTGTTTGTAAACACAGACAATCAGTAATTTATTTGCAAACAGTTAACACTCATAAATATATATATGGGTTTTTTCAACACTCTCACACTCGCTTCCCTGTGTGCTAGTGGAGTTTTACTAATCATTAATAACATACAATTTTTACAACTGGTGTACTGGCTTTTGAATAATCTCGAGTCAAATCATTCTCCTAGTAAGGAGATTAAGCCTGATTAAATAATCAGTTAACGGGATACTGTTTATTGGAGTCAGATATATAGAGAAATTAACCTCTACAAGATAACAGATATTTGATCAAAACAAATTCGAATCAAAGGACAAGGTAAGATATTACTTGAAAAAAAGTAAACAAACTAGGTCACCGTGCAAATAATTATTTAAAAAATCAAGTATTGCATTTTTCACATAAGAAGATTAAAACAAAACAAAACCACATTTGAAAGACATTAATACTTCACATACTTACACAAACCAAATACAGACACGGGGTAGGAAAAAAATGATGGGAGTAAGTATATTAATAAAAAATACAAACAGAACATGGGCAGTCACAAGAATATCACAATAGAAATGAGAAGGTGATGGTAATGAAGAAGCTATCATAGCTTCCTATATCATCTACCTATACATAACATGCTGAGTAGAAACAGTTGTATTGATGCAACACAGACCATTACATTTAGGTCCGCGTACTTATCTACCTACACCTAAGAATTTGTTTAAAGTTACATGATAATATGTACATATATGAAAGAGAATAATTAATAATTCCTTGTGTTCTTGTTTTATTCGTTTGTAAAAATAATGAATTCATTGTCAGCTTAATAAATCATCTATGTCACTTTTGGATAATGGTTTTATTAGACTATTAGAATTTGATATATTTTGACTAAGCATTGTTGTTGGCATTGTAATTGATGATGTTGTCGGGAATAATTGATATGTAATTGCATTTGGAACAGCTTGTTGTTGAACATGTCTCATCACGTTAGACATTGCTGGATAAAGTGGTATAGCATTTAATGAGTTACAATTATTACTACTAGTGAATGGAATAATTGAATTAGGTAAAATAGTTGATTGTAACTGTTCAACATTATTATTCGAATGATGATATAGAGAGTTGCTATTGTTATTGAAAACACCGTTCTGTTCATATGATTGGTGTTGAATAGTTGGTGGTGTGATTAAAGCTAAAGGTATGCCTGTACCTATACGATTTGATTGTGTAGTAGATTTATTCATCATATCAGATGTGCTATTGATTGCATTCACATTATATGATATTAAAGTATTTGTTATATCAATAGGTTTTGGTTTATTCATTGTCGTCGTTGTCATCAACTTCATTGGTCCAGCGCCAGTAGCAGGTTGTAGTAATGATGGTGCTGATGTTAAATTAGACGATAAACGTTCAATTTGATCTTGTTTAGCGGCTAACTGACGTTTTTGTTCTAAGCTTAGATTAGTACTTTCATTGGTTATCGAACCATTGACTCCTTGAATTGACGATGCCGTTCCTGTAGATGATTTAGGCGATGTATTGTTACTGTTATTTGAATTTACAGTTAAAGCTGTTGGTAAAGGACTACGTTTTACGTATTGATCAGTATCATCTAAATAAGCGCAAATTATCCGAGTCATCTAGTCAAAATAAATAAATACAAACAGTAAACCATAACATCGAACTAAGAATAATGACGAATTAACAATTAGCTTCAGTGTTAGTAATTATCGACTATGCATAAATTCTTATCCATCTAAATGACTTTAATCAGGATCTTACTTACAGTAGTCCAAGAACAAAGTTGTTTTCATGGAAACAGTAGCAAGACAAAGCAAAAGTAGAAAGTTTAGATCGAAATTTTAGCGCCACAAAAAATCTTAATTTTCACACAATGATCTGACTATTAGGTAGCGTGCTAATATTCTAAAATGTTTGTTGAACAGCTCAGGCAAATAAGAAAATAAGTCTTGTTGGAGAATGAAGGTTTAAAATCCCAGTCAAGCAATTCAATTTTAGAAAAATCCTCTCGGTCAACTTCCATATAGTTCATCTTTAATAGGATTAGCCATTTTGGTTCATTCTGTCTCAATATATTAGAATTCACGAATCGTACAAACTGAAGAAAACCTCTGTGTTTATATTCAAATTTTGCTAGGCATAGTAGTTAACTTCGCTAGTGTTATAAACAAAGAATGGTCTAACATTGATGAGGGGCGAGGCAAAATAAAAAATTGAACAAAGAACGAGGAGAATCGCAAACACTCTTTTGGAGCAAAATGCCCAGAGTTGATCAGGTGCTTCTGCTTTGAGCTTCGCACTCCCCTTTTAAAAGCCATCTCGGGTAATATTATGAAACGTGTTTGAAAAGTGATCGCTTTGTGCGGCCAATGTAACCTGCCCCATAAGAGCAAGTAAATTTATAGATGCACATTGATGTGGCTTAAAACGGAGGTTAAACCTTAACACAATCGTGAATGGTGGGCCGGCTTGAGAACACAATACGAAGCTTAGCTGAATGGGTTTTATTGCGGGATTTCGAAGTCGTTAATTTAGGATTTCAACAGCCATATCTCCTCTAAATACGATATTCACTAAGAGTTTTATTTTGAATTATTAGTGCTCTTTCTGGACGCCTTGGCGTTAAGTTCACATAGAGGAATCTCAGTGGACAGCCAGTTCTAACGAGTGCCTGTCGAATTTGAAGTAGTTCGTCATCTCTTGTGTCATGAGAACATATACTTCTAGTCCTCGAAGATAAAGTGTGAATTAAGTTTCTCTTTATACCCAATGGGACTCAGATATGGAAATTCGTATACTGACCATTCCAGGTTGGCTTTTTATAGATAAGTCTTTACAAATAACCAACTGGTTTTCGTTACAACAGGACAACAAAGAGATGAAATTCATTTTTTGCCCATGCTTTCAATGTAAATTCAATTTTGTGATGACATTTATTGAATTGATTCAAGGTTTCGTTGAGGTCCGTATTTTATTTACAAATAATGAAACTGTCATCTATGTATCTCCCTTATCAATGAAATCTCTCAATTATTGGTTGAAGTACCGTATTTTCCAGATTACCTATGAAACAACTAGTCAAGAGAGGGACCATTGATGACTTCATGGTAACTCCATCAGTTTATCTATAGAAATTATTATTAAATCTAAAGTGAACATTGAGAGTACATCGAAGAAGAAATCTCTTCTATTTGTCTATAGGCATATTTTTATCGAACTATAAATACGGATGTGCAGATTAAGTGAATGTTTTCATCGAAAAGATAATTTTTTTTCGCTAAATTCTCTTTATTTTAATACTCTAAAGTTCTTTTGAGTTCTGTTGTCGTGACTACTAATGGAATTTAATAGTATTGGGAATGCGAGATACAAATATTACAGATGACACGGGACAATTGTTGCAATCCTTCAATTTCTGCTGAAATTACAAATTGAAATCAATGAATGAACTCTAAATTAATGGTTAGAAAGTATCATGTTCAATGTGAGACTTAAACGTTCTGGGTTTTTGTATGACAGGATTGAAAAGGTAAACTTTCATACTTTTACTCGTTGTGATTTTTGTACAACATTTCCGTTTTTTCTTTAAATTCAATTCGATGATTATTCAGTGTAGTATTTGTTCTTTTTTTCCAGTTTGACAATTTATTCGGTATAACATTAATATACTTGAGTGTAATGTTTGTTTAAGATACAATATTCTTGTATTTAATTAACATGGACTATGCTCAGCATGACATCGTTCGTTATAGCTTTGGATATTTGTTTTTCATTTATGTGATTTTATTCTAATTAATAATCAAAATAGGTGTACAAACCAATATATAATAATGAATGTATCTTCGACTAGGGTTGTCGTCGTGTTTTATAGTGAATAAATCTTCATTTGTACCAGTCTTCTTGTTCTTACTTCGTGTTGTGAGAATCGCAGTGGTTTCTCGTTTTTTTCCAAGTATAAATAATAAGCGATTCTGACAACAATTAACGACGATCAGTTATAAAAGTTTGTGACAGGGTCAATTTACAAGTTTCAGCTTTTAATATAACTGTCTGGTTCCAATTGTAACTTAGATTTCAGTTCAATTTAAACCAAATCCTGTTTCCTCAGTTATAAATATACTTCCGCTTTTATTTATCAAGTCGCTGTTACAACAAACGATGCGGTCAGTGGTATAAGAACATGTCAATTTCAGTCGCAGAAGTACAATCAATGCTTCAGTTTAGTAAAGATGTGTTCATCAAATCTCATTTAATACTCATCAGTGCATTGAAGGAACATATGCGTAAATAATCAAATCTGTAATTGGACTTAAAAACTGTAGATATATTTTACCGAGATAACTGGTACATTTCCTGCTGCAATAAGGAATAGTTTTGTGATTGAAGAGGTCAACAAATCCTTTAATAAGGTTAACTCTAGGTAATTTTCAAAGGTTCTTTTATCAGATTCATCTCATTCTAATTATCCAGTTACGTCGAATGAAATTCAAAATCATTGTGAGTCAATCAATTTCTTATCAAATTTCTAATGGTATCATATCAGGTGCTGACTATCCTAGTGACTCATTAGTTTCTAATAAAGTCCTTAATGAATTTGAGAAAAATATTTCAAATGAATCAAATTCTGGAGATATCATAAAAAATGTTGCTTGTTCTCACAATGTACTTGTTTCTAGTGAAGACCTTAGTCAATATGAAACACAAATCCTCAATAGTTTCAAATCTAATTATAGTTTTGATGGTCTCATATCAAATGTTATTTATCCTCGCAATCCATTCACTCCTAGTTAGTGTGAGAAATATGTTCTAAATGAGTCACATTTTAATAGCATTTCAGATGTTATTGTAGATATTGGGTGATCTCATACCTTATATATATCCCGGAGAATCTTCGCTCAAAGCTATAACAAATGATTTGATATAAAAAGTATTTGTGAAGCAGTCCTGAAACCAGAATGCCCAGGAGTGATGTTCACACAGTAGGAAAATTTGAATTTATTCCCCAAGCCTAACAGTCCGAAATTCGGGGTAAGGCTTGATGCATGTGGTGGTAGAAATGAGGATTTATGTAAGATGAAAGCTGCTGAACTAGACGTTGGCTTAAAAGTTCATGATTACCTTAGGAAAATGAGGTCAAATGAAGATAAAAACTGTGTGAATTTCATCTTGCCAAAAATATTACGTATGATCAAACCGTGTTTCTGGGATATTGTTTGATGAGCAATCATCAGATTCCAGTATTCGTTATAGTCATCTACAAATACCCAGCGAATCTTATGATATTTATCTTGCTTATTCGGACAAAGTGCATGTCACATACAAAAAAGTAAACTATGTTTCAACAACTCAAAGTCAGTCCAATATCAATATACCTGTACGTAGAATGCAGCCGCATACTGATCCTAATGAATATGAAGCAAATACGAATGTCCCGTTCACATGCTTTGGAGACAAAGCGAGTCTACATGAATCACATACATTGTTACTGGCAAACTGAAATGTAAAATGTGCTTATTCATATTATGAATGGAATAATGGCATCGTATTTTTACATATGAAAGTTGAAAGCACTACCATGTATAGTACTACACATACAGGTAGAGATCATATAAAAAGATCTTTCAAACATTATGCATACCAGTCGTAACAGATTTGAACTCGAATCAGGTCATCAGTACATATTGATGTACAGTCTGAATCTATTAGCGAACACTTGAGATCCGTAGTCCGTGAAGAATACTAAAATTCAAAAAAACACTTGACTGAAAACACTGACTGTAGTTTAAATTCTATAGAACGAACTTACCAAATCTGAACAGGAATTGGATGTGGCCCAGACACTTTCATCGATATTACCAATTCTTATCATGCTATAAAGTAGGGGAGAAAGAAGTATAAACATGGTCAATATGGAAGAGACGAGAATATTCATTGTAAGAGAAAGTTAGAACCAACATAGAGCCTGAAACAAATGTACGATAGTCTAGGTTGTTGCTCGTAAAGTTATAGTTTTAAAATAAACAACTGAAAAGTAATACACAGTCACTGTTAATGTGATATGAAATACACTAACTAAAATGTGCAATTGCATTCTTCCTTAAATATTTTACATTCATTTGGACAGAAAAATCATTAGGAGGTACTCAAGTTTTAACTGAAAAATTATTAGTATCGAGCAAAAGCTGCAACCTGTTGATGTACATTAGAATGGAAAATTGGTCGAATGATTTAGCTAACTGATGTGAACTAACAAGAAAAAGAATTATTCCAACTATGTAACAGTATGATTAACAATGTCCTATTTCATTGATCAACAATATATAATTTATTCATACTTAATTAAGCCTTTTTCTATCATGCTATTAGGCTTGAAGAACGTAGTAATTTTAATTATAGTTTATCTGCTGTAGTGTATGCTACTTATGTTGACAGATATAAGTAGTATGTGACACCAATCAGAAGTGGAATGCCTGTCAGCAGAAGATTGATAAGATCCAATTGAAGAGAACAAGAATCCAAACAGAGAGCAACTGTTATAACAACAGAATTGAAGGAATGATGAAGCATGTAAAGGAAAACTCAGAGAAAATGTGCAGATAATGTATTTAGTGTATTACTTACTTACTTACGCCTGTTACTCCTCGTGAAGGAGCATAGGCCGCTCACCAGCGTTCTCCATCCAACCCTGTCCTGGGCAATCCTTTCTAGCTCCGTCCAGTTGTAATTCATCGTTTTCATATCTGCTTCTATTATCCGACGTAATGTGTTCTTTGGCCTTCCTCTTTTCCGCTTCCCTTCAGGATTCCAAGTTAGGGCTTGCCTCGTGATGCAGTTTGACGATTTGCGTTATGTATGTCCTATCCATTTCCATCGTCTTTTCCCAATTTCTACTTCAGCTGGAAGTTGGTTTGTTCTCTCTCACAGAAGGTTATTGCTGATGCCTTTTCATAATCAATGAAGTTGATGTATAGTGACGAGTTCCACTCAACTGATTGTTCGACGATGATCCGTAGTGTTGCAATTCGGTCTGTGCACGACCGATCCTTACGGAATCCAGCTTGTTGATCTCGAAGTTGGGCGTCTACTGCATCCTTCATCCGGTTCAGCAACACTCTGTTGAAGACTTTCCCTGGTATTGACAGTAGTGTTATGCCTCTGTAGTTTTCACATTTGCTCAGATCTCCTTTCTTTGGAATCTTGACGAGGTGTCCTTCTTTCCAGTCCATCGGCACTTGTTCCTCCTCCCAAATCTTTTTGAATAGAAGATAAAGCATGCTTGTGGTTGTTTCGATGTCTGATTTCAGTGCTTCAGCTGGTATGTTGTCGGGTCCTGCTGCTTTTCCGTTCTTGATTTGTCTGACGGCCATTCTAATTTCTTCCGTAGTTGGTGGATTGACATCTATAGGAAGATCTATGTGTGCTGCTTCGATGTCCGGTGGATTCATTGGAGCCGGCCTATTCAGGAGTTCCTCGAAGTATTCTACCCATCTGTTACGTTGTTGTTGAATTTCGGTGATTGGCTTGCCTTCTTTGTCTTTGACCGTCCTAACCAGTTAGATATATAAATTTACCAGTATTTATATGGAATAATCACTAGGACCTATGATGCACTGAATACTATCTTATAGAAATTACTCAATAATGTGAAAATTTCGATATTTTCAAGAGCTCTGATAACTGATTAAAGCAAAAATACTGAACAAACATAAAACAATGAGGTTGAAGAAAACAGGTTAAAATTAAAATGATTGATTACAAGGGTTTGACGTTGTGTAAATGACGCTAAAATACGAATGATACTCAGAGGCTCTAACGAGCTCGTCCTAGAAGCAGTTTGTATGCCTTGGTTTTTTAACTAATTATGTAAATGATACATCAATGTTTAATGATCACAATTACTTTCAATTCATAAATTCGGATAAAATCCAAATATATTCTTCTTTTTCCTTACCTGTCCTCATCAGTTGCAGCACCATGCAATTGCTCTAATTTAGCATATTGTTCACGTTCCAAATATGAACACATATCTCGTATTAATGATGCATAAGCGCTGTATTGCTTTAAATTTAAACTGCTTTCAATGGATAATGGGATAAGATAAGGCAATACTTTATTAGCTAGTTTTTCTCGACTGATGCCAAGTTTTTCATGACTAAATGCTAAGCGATATATACCTGTATAATAGGGTGGGGGAAGAGACAAACATAAAGAAACCTGTAGTTAGCAAACAAAGTTTCAATATTTATGTACACTAGTATTATTTAGCATAAAACCGAGATAAAGTGATGATTGTAGGAAGAGACCTAATGTATCAACAATGTTTATCGGGGTTGGTATTTGAACGGAGCGAATATTGGAGTAACCGTAACTTTTGGAACTATTTTAAGTTGAGTAATTATTTACATTTTTACTCTGTAATTTTTAAGTAACTAAATTATATCTGTATATACACTAGATTGTAAGTTTCCACTCAACCCACTAACTATTGCTACATATTTTACTATTCATTAATTAATGCTAATTAACGATTCACCTTTTGCTCTATATTCGGTCACTTATGACTTGGTTGTGAATTGTTATGTTTGAAGAGATTACCAGTTCACTTAATATGAAAACAGAACGAAGACTGTGAAACAATGACAGATAAGCTAGATATCCCATCGCGACCCTGTCCAGCTAACTAGAGAGAGAAGTCTAAGTTTAGAAGAGGGAAGCACGAACAACCACGACAAGTCTAGCCGAAAATACACTCATTTATATATTGATCCATACACCCATTTTTGATTAATAATTAGGATGAAATCACATATATGATAAATAATTGGGGTTATAACAAATCATATGATGAGTATAATTCATGTTAGCTTAATACAAGAATATCGTTATGATATACCGAATAAAATGTCATACTGGAAAAACAAAACAAATACTACATTGAGTAATCCATACATTGAATTAAAACGGAACTAATGTGGAATAAAAATCATAATGAGTAGATCAATATAATTTTGACTTTTCATCACGTCATATCATGAATAAAGTATGACTTCTTATTTGGGGTTCTTTTTCGTCTGATGATTCATGTGTGCAAATTGCAACGTGTCACAAAGTGTTGGGTCGCAAGAACCATCATCATAAAGAATGAATCTCTATCCAAACCCTGGGCAAGATTCAAGAAAAGAAGAATAAGAAGATAGCAATTAACAACAGCCGAACAAGAGCAGTGTGGGCCGGAGCACAAGCTGAATATAAAGGAGCAAACGAGATAGTGAAGAATAGCATTAGAGCCGACAAGACCTAGCAGCGACAGCAGGAAAAGCTTCAAGAGAAGGAAATATGAGACAACCATATGACACAAATAAGAAACTGGAACGGAAATATAATGAACCAGAGAGACTAGTGAATGACAGAGAAGGCAAGCCAATCAATGAGATTCAAGAACAGGGGAAAAGGTGGATAGAACACTTTGAGGAACTCTCGAATAGACCAGCTCCATTGAACCGACCACACGTCGAAGTAGCACACACAGACGTCCCTATAAATGTCACCCCACCAATGATCGAAGAAACCAGGATAGCCATCAGGTAAAGCAGCAGGAGCTGACAACATACCAGCTGAAGCGCTGAAGTCAGACGTCGAAGTAACTGAAGACGTGCTTCGCACTCTATTTAGAAAGAGGAACAAGTGCCACTGGCAGACTGCAAAGAAGGATACCTCATCAAGATACCAAAGAAAAAAATCTGAGAAAATTTGAGAACTACAGAGGTATCACAATACTGTCAGTACCAGGAAAGGTTTTCAACAGATTGGTGCTGAACTGGAAGAAAGACTCAGTAGACGCCCAACTTCGAGATCAACAGACCTGATTCCGTAAGGATCTGTCGTGCACAGACAAAATCGCGACAATACGGATCATTATTGTGCAGTCAATTAAATGTGATTCGTCGCTAAACATCAACCTTCTCGACTATGAGAAGGCGTTTGACAGTGTGGGTAGCAGGACATTATGGAAACTTCTTCGACACTATGGAGTGCCTGAGAAGATCGTCAACATCGTATGCCATTCATACGATGGACTACAGTGCAAAGTTGTGCATAGAGGACAGCCGACAGATGCATTCAAAATGAGGACTGGAGTCAGGCAAGACTGCTTACTCTCCCCCTTCCTATTTCTTTTGGTGGTCGACTGGATTATGAGGACCTCGACATTTGTGGGAAAACACGGAATCAACTGGAAGATTTGAACTTCGCAAATCACCAGATGAGATGTGGAAACTTTCATATGCCTGGTCAGCATCATTGATGAACAAGGAGGATTTGATGAAAATATAAAGTCGTGGATTGCCAAAGCAAGGACAGAGCTCTTACAATTGAAAAGCATGTGGAACTCAGAACAACTGTCAGCCAACATCAAAGCTAGAATCCTCAATACGAAAGTCAAGATAGTTATACGGGGTTGAAACTTGGAGGTCTACTAAGTAAAGTAAGTTGGACAATGATGAAGTATTAATGCAAATAAGCTACAGAGTGATTGAATGACAAAGATATGATCTAAAGTCTCCAATTATTGTATAAAATTACTATGAGGACCCAAACGAAATATCTCACTTTCCAAAATGACTGAGAGCATCAATTCATGATTTCATGAACAAATTTACTGTCTAGGTTTGGTTGAAGCAAACAGTTTTCCAAGCTGTTTCTTTACTATATAGGAGTGCACGTGGGTTCACCTATAACACAACTTTAAATCACCTCAGTAGATCTAGGATAAAGGCTTCTTCATTCGGTTTACTACATTTAACTAATCCCATTTACTTAGCCCTAGCTTTAATTACTTGATTCTAACATATGCTATTTATTTATTTATTTGAACACATAAATATTGGTACAAGAGAGCGCCAATATATATGCGCCACACAAAACGATGAGAATTCGAAGAGAAATAGAAAAAAAAGAGAACAATAACGAAGAAATTGGTGTAAGGTAGTGTGGTAGTAATGAGGGAACGCAAAGGTACAATCGGAACAAATCTTTCAGGTAAGGGAGACACAACCACTTTTTATGAAGAAAGTAAAAGAAGATTACAGCAGGATCGCCACTGGCTTCTATTCTGAGCCATATCTGATAACGTCTCTAGCCACTGTGTAGCACCATCTCTCAGACCCCAACCAGGGAGTCGTGAAGGACCAACAGAAGCCAGTCCTTTGCAGCTTTCTTTCATACCACTACACCACGTCATGCACTGACCACCTCTCCGCTTCTCCCAACCAGTCCCAGAGTCGGCAAATAATGCACGACGTGGAATTCTCTGGGACGACATTCGTAGAACATGTCCAAGCCACCGAGGTCGGTGTTTCAAGATGGTAACACCAATTGCATTATTGTCTCTGTGCCCGAACACACGATGCTGAACCTCTGCATTACTAACATGGTGTTGCCACTGGATGTCAGCAGTCCTTCGGAGACAGCGATGATCGAACACAGAGAGTCGTCTAACATCCTCAACTCGGAGAGGCCAAGTATGACGGAAGCCAATAGCTTGGACGCAATCGGAAGTAGACTTATCCCCCGATAGTTGTTACAGGAACGACGTGAACCCTTTTTAAAGATAGGGACAACTATAGACTCATTCCATGACGTTGGTACACTCTCTAGTTCCCAAACCTTTGTAAACAACGTCGTCAATTCCTTAGTCAAAAAGTCACCACCATCTTTAAAAAGAGCCGGAGGTAAGTCATCTGGGCCAGGTGAATTGTAACGCTTCAAGAGTTGGAGTTCCTTGCGGACTTCCGCCTCATTTGGTGGATCAATCGTCACCGGCCATGGAGGGCAGGACAGTCTGACCGATGTTGCCGGAGCAGCAGGCCAGTTGAACTGCCCTTCAAAAAATTCTGCCCGTCGTCCAAGACGTCGATGGATGTTAGTGAATGGCATCCCGTCATCCTCACAGATTGTTTAGCTCACACCAGACTTCTTGCTGCCGGTGGCTCGGATGAGTTGGAAGAGCTTCCGGTAGTTACCAGATGCAGCTGCTGCTTCCAACTCATTAGCACGCTTCGACCACCAGGCTTCTCGGTCCTTACGCAAGCTTTGCCCAATTTCCTTACGTAACATCCTTCGTTTATGGTCAAACTCACGGTCACCCGGAGTAGACCGACGGGCTTCAATGAGTTGTAAGGAATCTGCAGAAACCCAGTGCTTATAAGCGGGACGTTTCGCGAACCCACAACTGACTGTACCTGCTATTTTCATGGCGTCATGCAATTGCAACCAATGCTCATCTATACTTTCCGGTGGAGTGGTAGCTAGCCTAGAGGCTAGCTCGGTTCGATACTTGCAACAGAAGTTGCAACCAGCTTGCTAATATCAATCCGTTGATGGCGGTCACTTCGTTGTCCACTGAAAAGTAAGGCAAGATTGGTGTAGGAAGCAATTTCCCACAGATTCAACTCTAAACTAATCTCTAGCCTGTCGAGTACAGAGTCTTGGTTTGGCCAAAGTCAGAACAAGTAAGCTATTTGGCTATATAACTTTATCTGTTTCTAAAACATAAATTAACATCGTTAGTGTGCAAACGAACAGTACAGTCTATTAATACAAAGAAAAACAGAGACAGATAACATACCGAACAGTAGCTAGAGAATAGGAAAAATGAGTCAACAAGCCAAAATCGTCTTACAATAAACATTAAACTGTGATTGGTTAATAAAAAGATACAGTCGTACAAGGTCAAAAGGAGTTAATGTGGTGGTGGGCGTTTCCCTTTATTATTGGTGGGTTCGTTTATCGATCACATTTTACACTCCCCCCGAAACGCGCACCACGTCCATTGTCCAGGGCCGTCGTCGCCGTCAGACAACCGGCTTCTTCCAGCAGACATAGGCTTCGCACATCTCTGACGATTTCTTCGTTTGAAGTTCTCAACTTTGCCGTACGGACTCGTCCGTCCGGGCCATAGCTTACTTGCTCGACTATAGCCTTAGGCCATAGACCTCTATTCATTTCGACGTTACTAACGAGGACTAAGTCACCCGGTTGTAAGTTCTTGTGTAAGTCCAACCATTTGTCTCTTGCTTGGAGAGTCGGTAAATATTCTTTTATCCATCTATTCCAGAATGCGGTGGTTAGTCTTTGAGCTTCTTTCCATCTTTTGTTGTATAATAACGTCTTATCCACCGAAGCATCGTCGAATGATAATTTTTTATGAATCAACAACAACTTGTTCGGAGTAAGAGCTTCTAGGGTACCAGGGTCATCTGTCATCTTAACCAGAGGTCTGTCATTCAGTATCCGTTCCGCCTCAGTTAAAAAAGTTTGCAGAGTTTCATCGGTCAACACGTTTTGGAATAAAAGCACTCTTAAGATTCTTCTAATTGATCTTATGATGCGTTCCCACACACCACCTCGATGACTTGCTCTGGGTGGGTTAAAACGCCACTCACATTCTCGTTCTTTAAGATGGTTTTCTATTTTATTAGTATTCCAGGAGCGTATAATCTGTCTCAAACTGACATCTGCACCTCGGAAGTTTGTGCCGTTATCGCTGAAAATACGTTTTGGACATCCTCTTCTGGCAATAAATCTTGATAATGCGCATAGAAATGAATCTGTATCTAAAGAGTAGGCCATTTCGATGTGAACGGCTCTAATAGATAAGCAGGTGAATAAACAGCCATAACGTTTCTCGACAACTCTACCACGTTTGGCATAGAACGGTCCGAAGTAATCCACGCCTACTTGACTAAAGGATGGTGAATGAGTCTCTACTCGGTACTCCGGCAACGGTGCCATTAATTGGGAACATGGTTTGGGATAAAGTCTTCTACATAAATAGCATCGTTTTAGAACCTTCCGAACAGTAGAATATCCTCTAACAATCCAATACTTCTCACGAATACTACTCAGAGTTTGAGTAACTCCAACATGTGCGTTAATTACATGATAACGCATTATAATCATATCTGTAACAAAATGATTATTAGGAAGAATAATCGGATATTTGGTTTCAAATGGTAAACATGATAACTGCAAACGTCCTCCCACGCGGATTTTGCCTTCAAACATAAAAGGGTTGAGATTTCTTATAGAACTTTGACGAATTAATTTTTTTCTCCTGTTCACCTCGTCCATTGCTTCTTGGCCTTTTTGCTGTCTAAAAGCGTTTTCTCCGAGCGTCAACAGTGAGCTGTTTAGAATTCTTTTTTCGGTCGGGTACGCGACACTTTGGACTAGTTTAATTATGTCACTCTTCGAATTTTCGATATCCTCAGCACTTAGCGCGCCTAAGGTTAGACGATTTCCGTTCCTCTTGTTTAACATATTATTGATAAACCGTCTGCAGTATGAAAATACCCTTAGAAGTCTGGACCACGACTTGCACGTACGAAATCGATCTAGGAACTCATCATCGTGTCTTGGGAGTCCGAAATCCTCTGTCAATACATGGGCTATAGTGTTCTCAATCTTTTCTAGGTTAGGCCACTTATTTTCTTCCTCCCACAAGAATCTCGGCCCTTGTAACCACTCTCTTACCTTAGCTTTATCATTTAGTGATAATCCACGAGACGCGTGATCTGCAGGATTCAATTTACCTTTCACATATCTCCATTGGCTTGGCGTAGACAACTCGTGTATAGTTTCTAACCTGTTACTCACAAACCTTTCAAACCTCTTAGTCGTATTTCTTATGCAATGAAGCACAACTGTCGAATCGGTCCAATAAATAACTGACGAAATGGGGATACTTAACTGTTCCCTTACATGCCTTCCAATCTTAGCACACAAAACACAGGCCGTTAATTCCATTCTGGGTATAGTAACAAGTTTTAGAGGAGCAACCCTAGACTTAGCTAGCAAGAATGAACAATGGATCTGACCAAAAACACTTTTATAACGAATATACGCAACAACACCATACGCAAGCTCGGAGGCGTCGGGAAAACAATGAATTTGCGCAGATGATGGTTCAAACCCTGGTTTCAAACACCTTGATATTCTTAGGTGGTCTAACCCTTTTATATGTCTACACCAATTATTCCACTTTGTTTGACAATCTACGGGTAACTCGGCATCCCAGTCTAGTTTCTGACGACAGGTATCTTGTAAGATCACTTTAGCCGGTAATATTATTGGGGCTACAGACCCAATTGGATCAAAGATAGATGCTACATGCGATAAAACATTCCTTCTGTTATTAGGTAACTTGTGGTTGTGCCTCCAAGGTAGAGCTATTTGATAGTGCCCGTTTAACCTTTGTACTGAATGTGATATAGCACTGAGTGCTATACGATCTTCTACAGACATCGATATAGTACGACTAAATGGATCTTTGAATTCAGTTGAGTACAACTGTCCGAACTTATCCTCTAATTCCTCTTTAGCTGAGAGGTGATTGAGTACACGATTGCTTTTACAGGGTTCCCCATAGGAACCGAACAGCGTCCAACCTAATGGAGTCTTCACGGCGAATGGTTCATTCGGCTTTCCAGTTCTTACCTCTTTCATTTCGTGTACACTCGGTGCATTGCACCCGATCAACAGTTCGACATTCTCATCCTCTACTCTAGGAAAACTTATGTCTTTTAAATGCGTCCAGGATTTCATTTGAGACGTCGTTGGTACCGTCCTGCGCAACATAGGTAATCTCTCGACTGTCCATACGTTTGGGATTCTAAATGACGAAGACGAGTCTAAGGATGAAACCTCTAGTTGAACCTCTTTACACTGAATTGTGGAATGGTTATCCAACGTTTTCAACGAAATCGTCTTAGGCTCTCCTTCTAAATTCAGCCTTTTAGCTAGATCTTCTGTAATAAGAGAGGCATCCGACCCACTATCTAAGAAGGCGCAAGTCTGTGCTACCTTTTCTCCACTTCTTACCAGTACAGGCACTATTGCGAATGCTGCTTGTTTCTGTACACTCTCTACACTTTTCTCCGTACATAGCTGGGTGTTAATGTGTGCATCAATATTAGTATTCCTTGGTTCTTCCCGCAACTCATGTAACAGGGTATGGTGTCTCCAGCCACACCCTTCGACAGCACACGACCTCGGCGATCGACAGTTTTTTGCTACGTGGTTTGCCTTCAGGCATACATTACACAACTTGTGTCTAAGAACGAATTCCTTCCTTTCTCTAACATTCTTGTCTTTAAATTTCTGACATTGATCTAAAGAATGATTACTGGAGCACTCCAAACAAGATGAACTGCGTAAGAGAGCATTATCATCACTAGCACTCGCATAAGATATTCTTGCTGCATTGTAATCTGTATTAATTTTCCTTTTTAAAACACCAACATCTTTATTGCCACTATTACTACCGTGGTTGACAAGTAAGCCGTACCTAGTATTAGCAATGTCCGACTGCTCTTTCACAAATTCACAAAGGTCCTTGAATGAAGGTTCTCTACCTGTCTTAAGAATTCTACACGCAACTTTAACCCATTCTCTTTGCAGGTATAAAGGGAGTTTTAAAAACATGCATTCGATAGTCTTTGTAGAATTAAGATCAGATACATAGTTCATCTGCGTGAGTGTTAGCTCACAAATATGCATCTCACGAGACAACCTTCTTAAATTATATGGATCGGTCCCTTTAATGGCAGGGATGTTCAGCATCTTATCAATAAAAGCATGGGCTACTATATGCTTCTGACCAAATGCTTCCTCGAGAAGTTCTAGTGCTTTACGATAGCCTTCTTCTGGCTCAAGCAATGCGCAATGAACAATAGTGTTTTTAGCTTCACCATCACAGTACTGGATCAAATAGTTTAACCTAGATCGGAACCCGATGCTCTCGTCAAAACAATCCTGAAAATTCCGTATGAAGCTCCAATAGTTCATAGGGTTACCATCAAACCTTATAATCTCTTTCTTTGGTAGGTCTAAAGCTCTAGACATCATTGTTACCCAGTCTTTTCTAGGAGGAACATCGACGACAGATGTAGACTCATACGTCATCGCCTTGTCAACCATAACTTGATCATAATGTTCTCTTCCTTTTTGGCGTAACCGTTCTAGCTCGATTTCTTTTTCTGTCTGAGCTAAACGTACTTTAGCTAATTCTAACTCTAACAAGGGATCTATTCGGTAGGTATTTCCTCCGAGCTGGTCATCACTATGGGTTTCTGAATAATGAGGAGACAATTCAGGAATATGATCAGTTTTACGACTCTCCATAGGTACCCAATGTACGAAACTTTGATGAGTTACTGTTCGAAACTTTGTAGGAAGCAATTTCCCACAGATTCAACTCTAAACTAATCTCTAGCCTGTCGAGTACAGAGTCTTGGTTTGGCCAAAGTCAGAACAAGTAAGCTATTTGGCTATATAACTTTATCTGTTTCTAAAACATAAATTAACATCGTTAGTGTGCAAACGAACAGTACAGTCTATTAATACAAAGAAAAACAGAGACAGATAACATACCGAACAGTAGCTAGAGAATAGGAAAAATGAGTCAACAAGCCAAAATCGTCTTACAATAAACATTAAACTGTGATTGGTTAATAAAAAGATACAGTCGTACAAGGTCAAAAGGAGTTAATGTGGTGGTGGGCGTTTCCCTTTATTATTGGTGGGTTCGTTTATCGATCACATTTTACAATTGGCGCAGACCAAGGCATGGTCAGAGTCCAGATAGGTACTCCAAAAGGAGCGGCAGTCTCGTACACAACCATGCCAGCGGTAGCTGATCGCGATGTGATCAATCTGAGTCCAGGCTTGAGATGCAGAGGGAGGACGCCAGGTGGCACACGGCGATGACTGTGCCGAAAGTTAGTGCTAGCCAGAAACAGGTTGTGGTCTGTGCAAAGTTGGCCCCCGAATGCCCTGGTACGGCCGGGAGTGGGGAGAGTCCGCTCTCCTTATCGAAATACTCTCACACGGCCGCGCGTATACAGCATCTGCCAGGGAAGTCCTACTCATTGTCTTCTCGTGGCGGGGGTTTAGTTTACGAAAATGAGAGGACGAAAAGCGAATGTCCGGCGCTTTAACCGGATCACAAATCAGTGGTGGGCATGGGCTCCAGTATCCTGCTGGAACAAATGGCGTATGAACCAATCGTTGGTCACCGGCTACCATGAGACTGCATCTCCTTACGATGCTCCACTGCCTTGTGGGTTAGACCTATAGGTCAATGGCTCGGGGAGTGGCCCCCTAAGATAACCACCTGCTTCGGTTTGGGCACCCGGGCAGTATCACAGCCCACACACAAATGATGAACTCTCTATGTCTAACATACGCTAGAGACATTTTAAAGGCATCAACAGTCAAATACTAACAACCTATGATTTTCCTAAACCTTAAAAGATATTTAATGATCACGAGGTAATATAGAGGGAACTTCTGAACAGTATACTCATCTTTTAGTAGGTGTACAAATAGATTTTAAGAGTATTGCATTTAGAGAATGTAAAGACTACCCGACGCACGATTTTAAGTCATTTACTGAGATGGCCGCATTACAATTCAGTAGATAGAATTCCTTTAACACTTAAGACCAGAAAACTTGGTGATGCTTAATACTTAGAGATCGATTAATTTAACCAAGTCAGTTCTATGTGAAGTCAGTCACGATCCATAAAGCTCATAAGGAACCAGATGGAGTAACATCTGAATCCCATGGGAATCACCAGTTCACACAGATGAGTACCAACCAGCATGAAACTCTGCAGAAAAAGAGAGTTTGATACACTGAACAATGCAATAGATATATAATTCGATAAATATAGTTTAAAAAGAACAATTATTAGCTTTAAAAGAAATAGTGAACTTGCCCAGTATAGCTATCAAAACAGTTGGTTCACGTGATTTAATTTGTTGTAAAAATGGGAGAATATCATCCATTACAATCCATTTGTCTAAATGATCTAGTAATTTTCCAATGCAGAGAAGACAATTCATACGTGTCTACAATGAAACGAAAGTGGATGATATATATAGGGACCTAGATTTATGGGTTAAACAAATAAAGAACAATCTACGGAAAATTTCAACCAACAAATAACGTTAGCTAGAGTATCTATTTAAAATGTGGAACCCATCTCATCTGGGGTCGTGGTGCTCACAATCGTAAAAGGTTTAGGATTGGATCATAATAAATATTCAGGGCATCGTAGTTCCCAGTGGTTTTCTAGCTAACATCAGTTCATCATGAAAATTAAATACAAATCATAAGAATGTTTGTACAAAAATTACTCCTCGATAATGATAATAACAATAATAATTAAAATAACCATATACTCATCATTGACTAGTTTTAGGATACAGTTCTTAAAATTTCGATGGAAAGCTGTGACCTGTGAAGTTAAAGACATCTGAAGTATAACGATATCTTATCAATGACAGTAAGCGGGGATTGTACTATATCAAAAATTTAATGAGTTTGAATATTTAGATCAATAACAGCTTATCATATATAGGAAATAAACTACAGAGAACGTTGAATAATTACGGAAAGTGGTACTAATCAACTAGTCTCTATATGGATACATAAAAAATTTCCTTGGTTCTGCTTTCCACATATTTTAACGTTTAATAAATATTATAGAAGAAATGAATAAGCGGGACATGAAATACATAAATGTTCTTTTTAACTACATACAGAATGATAATATCTAGTCTACCTAATGCTTTAACGTAATAGATTCATTAGAAAATAATTCATAGAAAAGAAATTGACAGTAGTTATCGGTTTAGAATTAATCCGTTAATTAACTTATAATATATTGATAAGAGTGGTTAGCTTCATCACAGAAGTAGCAGAGATAGGGGAGGGGGAGGGAATAAAATTATGATATCGATAAGTGGGAGTACAATAAAAGCCGCAATCAGAGAGCAGAAAAACCAAATAAAGGATACGTGATTATTCGATTGTAGATCCGTAGAGTAATATTTAAGACACTCGGGTATGCAACCAATGGGGTTGTAGCTTAAAATCTCACTATACTAGTTTGGACTACTGTACTCGGTCAGCGTACCTAATAATCTCATATACAGCAAAGTGTCGTACACGAATTTGTACTTAATTAGTGAGTCACACTAGTTGAAATTCATTTGATTTAAAAGATAAATTATGCACTATATATAACTGATTGATCACTGAGTAGTGGCTAATGTCATGCTTATCCAGTCATTTAGTGCTGATCGAATTCCATAGATTAAGTTGCAACGTAGTCGACAGGCTAAGTGACTCAGTATCACCCAAACTCTTTTGAGAAGTTAGGTAGTTGAATATGGTAGGCATGAAACCTTTGACTTGGGTTTCGTGCTAAATGACGCTTGTCAGCAAGGCGTACCTGTGATCGTGACTGTATTTCAACAGCAAATGCAATATGATGCAGTGTAATATCATTAAGGAAACTGAATAGTCAGAGAGAAAACGAATGTAACACTTTTTACTGGCTTACAACAATCGATTAGAGGAGTTACATAATGTTTTAATATGAATCTGGTGAATTTTGTCTAGTTCAGCAGAACCTAATACTTGTTCATGCGATTTATATTTTACATAGAATATACGTATCTATATACCCAAAGGTGTGTAGTGTGTGAAATTACATAAAATAATGGAAAATACACACCATTGTTTACATATAAAGTGGAGTATTTAACACTTGTCACCTGTGAAGTAGGAGAGATTTCTGTTTATCAACAGACGGACGTGTATACTGAGCAGTAGTTCGTTCTGTTCTGCTTAATGGCTTTGAATAGTACACTTTAAAAGTGTAAGATATACGTAGGTAACTAATGTTTGATTACAGATCCCTTCGGATTATAGCTCGCATATGTTGGGACCACCGAGTGAGCATGTTGAGTTTAGACACAGGATACTGAGCAAAGATGGTGAATCGATTGGTGAGTCTTCATCAACTGAGGCTGTTGGGGTATGTATTATGTACGTCTTATCACCGTGTATCTCGCATGCAATGTGGTCTGGTGCAGGAGCAGGTTAGAAGAAATCTAGGGGTATCAGTCCGTGAACTCATTAACTATTGGACTGAGTCATATATGTAGGTGTTGACTGCCTACTTGTTGGGGATGTCAGATCCCCAGAACTCACTTGGTAAATGCCTTATTTTTGTAATTCTATTTTAAAATTTTGAATTTTTACCTTCATGTCGTATTTCCCATTTGGGAGGATCTTAAACACTACCGGTTCGTTGTCTTTTATTATGCTATTTTGTAACGCTTCCCAAGGACATTTAGATGTATATATACGCTTGATCTGTGCTTGTTGTCTTTCGTGCTTCTGGTTGCTTTTGGAATATATTTCCATCTTGAGAACTTGGACTTCTCTCTCTAGCTAGCTGGGCTGGGTCGCGATGGAATAGCTAGTTTATCTGTCATTGTGTCAAAGAGTCTTCGTTCCGTTCTCAGATCAGGTGAACTTGTAATCTCTCAAAACATAGCGCCACTTGAGATTGGGATCTACACAATCTTCGTTCCTAAAGTTTCGAGACACTGAGTGACATAACTCAGAATCGATTTCCATGGTGCAGAAGCATTCATTCTTTGTTTTTCCTTGGACCATAAGTTTTAAACTTATCATGACATTGTATAGGCCTAATCTTTTCTACTACTAATATTGCTGTTACTACTGCTACTACTACTCTAATTATTGTCTGGCTAATTTCATCGCACAGCTTCAGTCAGAGACGTTACCACTGACCTATCCGGGCCGCGACCAACCTTCTGTAGGACTGAGATGTGATCACAATTGATTGATCGCTGGGTGGTGATCAATGTCATGTGTGTCAAGTCCATTATTTTTATTATTACTATTACTACTACTATTATTATTACTATTTATTATTATTATTACTATTATTATTATTATAGTGGTATATCAAATTAACGCAACAAACAGTAGAAAATATATTTGGGGACATTTATAATAAATTAGCTTCAATTATAATCCAATGTATTCTATATGCATAGGTTAGTAACAAGTCGATCACACAAAACATTAAAGTATGTAAACTACACAATGATCCTTGAAGTACTTTAATTATTCGTTATTTAGCTAATATTAACGGTGATAATGATAATAAATCACAATAAATCTTTAAGACACTTACAGATAAATATTCTGTGGATAAACATAAACGTTGTATTCGTGGAATGAGAGAATTTCTTAATACAGTCAAGTCCATTGCTTTTCCAATAGTTGGTAAAGATTTAAGACATAATTCCTAGAATATAATGACGACAACACAACAGATAGAACATCTATACAAAAATAGGTTCATAATAATTAAACAAATACTAGTGGTTAGGATACAAATATTTGAAGATTAGTATTGTTTGAGAATCGTTTCCAACATGTTGTAGTGGACTATTTTCGAGATAATTCCTAAGTCTTCGTATATCACTCATCCTGATAACTGTTACTAAATAACCCCCAACGGTGAATACATCTCAGAAGACAATAAGAAGCGTTGTCAGTCAGTCAGTCAGTAACAACGTAGAACTTCGTACGTACGTACATCAGTTCGAGTTGCCACACCACATTAGCACAGAGATGCAGTTGTCGATTCAAATCCCGTAGTGGTAGAGGTAATAAGAGTATAAGCAGTAATCGGGAAGATTAGGGTTTGGAGATGTTATTTAAAGAGTATAATCCAGTGAAAAAAATTTGGAAAGAGGAAAAAAGGGACATGAAGAATTCAGAAGATTAGAATTTGAGAGAACACAGAGAGTGGATGCACCTGCGCCATTGCAAACGATTTTGAGCCATGTCATTCAGGGTCTCTAACCATCGGTTGCTATCATCTCGCGGTCCCCAACCATGTAGTCTACACCTACCAACATGACTCAGTTCACTTGTCAGTGACTTCATGGACTTGTGCCATGTTTTGGTTTGGCCGCCCCTAGCTTTCTTCCAACCTACTCCTATACCACTGAACATAGCACGTCGAGGCAGTCGGTCGTTGGGCATACGTAACACGTGTCCCAGCCATCTCAACTGATGAAGTTTCACTACTTCATCAATTGATTTGCCATCCTTACCTAGTACCCGTTTCCTAACAACTGTGTTACTTACTCGATGGTCCCATGATATACGAGCAATGTTTCGAAGACACCTATGATCAAATACTAGTAGCCTACGGATATCCTCTACTCTTACCGGCCATGTTTCACTGCCATAAAGTAGGACGGAACGAACTGCTGCGCAGTAAACACGTCCTTTGGTTGATAGACGGATATCTCGCCTACGCCATAAATGACGCAAGTTGGCAAAAGCTAGTCGAGCCTTCTGTATCCGTGCTGAGATTTCGTCACACACTAAACCGCAAGGGCTGATGAGACTTCTAAGATAAGTGAAGCGGTCGACACACTCAACTACTTCACTCCCTATCACTAGTTCGGGTATCGATGTAACCCAATCCTGAAGCAACATTTTGCATTTCGAGGGAGAGAATCGCATCCCGAACATGCTTGCATTGTTGCTTAGAGTGGTCAGAAGACTCTGCATTTTGTCAGCGTCTTCACCAAATAAAACTATGTCATCTGCATATTCTAAGTCAACAAGTGAACCTCTCGATAGAAGTTCAACCCCTGGAAATCTAGACGAGGAAAGTGTTATCTCTAAAAGTACGTCAATGACAAAGTTGAACAAGAATGGGGAGAGTGGACAGCCCTGACGAACACCACTTGAGGTGATCAATTCTGATGACAGTTCGCCATAAGCTCTCACTCTACCAGTTGTGTTCGAGTAGAGAGCCTTTATAAGGTTAATGTGCTTCTTTGGTACTCCTTTCAGTGACAAACACTGCCATAGAACCTCACGATCAACAGAGTCGAATGCCGCCTTGAGGTCGAGAAATACTACCATTGTGGGGCGTCTGAATGTGTGTCTATGTTCTAGGACCTGATGTAGTGTGAATATCTGGTTTATACAGCCACGTCCAGGTCGAAAACCAGCCTGGTTTTCTCTAGTCTGCTCTTCACGAGCTTTAGTTAGGCGTCGAAGTATGATTGAGGCTAATATTTTAGACACTATATTAGTCAAACTGATTCCTCTGTGATTGTCACAAGAGGACTTTTGTCCTTTCTTATAGACTGGCACAATTAGTGATTGAGACCAGTCAGATGGGATTACGTCCAGTTCCCAAATTCTACCTAAGACCTCGGTTAATCTCATTGCTAATACTGGACCACCATCCTTAAAAATCTCAGGAGTAAACCTGTCAGGGCCTGCTGCTCTCCCTCGTTTCAGATTTCCTATGGCTTTCTCAACTTCGTAAAGGGACGGAGGACCTACATTAACTTGCCATTCAGGTTGACTAGAGATCGTTAGAAACCGAAGTGTGGCTGAAGGCCAGTTGAACTGATCCCTAAAGTGTTCTGCCCATCGATCCAATCTCCTGGATTGAGAATGAATAATATGTGCATCTTTCTCTGAGATTGTTTCGCTAACGGTCGGGTTCCTAATTCCGGTTTCCTTAACGAGTCTGAACAATTGTCTGCTATTACCTATTGCCGCTGCCTTTTCCATCTCTCTTGCTTTCGCCACCCACCACTGTTCGCGATCGTTGCGTAGGCTTTTGGTCAGCTTGCGCTTAAGCTGACTCCGCTCTTCATTATGTTCAGAGCCAGGTGGAATGAGTTTCCGAGCATCTATCAGTGCGATAGATGCTGCTGAGATCCAGTGTTGCTCCCTAACCTTCTGGTTTATCTTACTAGCAGATATCACTGCGGTTTCCACAGCTTTTCGGATATCATTCCATGCTGCATCGGGGTGGGCATCACATACATGGCTGCCTAACTGTTTTCCTAGTTGTTCCTGAAATATACTCTTAGCTTGATTATCATTAAGTAGGCCCCTAAGAGGTTTTCTTGCAGCGTCTTTCCTACGTCCAGTAAGACGCAAGCAAATACGCGCTCGCACTAGAGCATGATCTGAATCTAGGCATGTGCTCCAGAATGAGCGACAGTCTTCTATCGAGCCCCTCCATCGGTTGCTGATAGCGATGTGATCTATTTGGGTCCAACGTTGGGACGAATTAGGGGGTCGCCATGTTAAAAGATGTTTTTCCTTATGTTTAAAGTTAGTATTTTCAAGGAACAGGCGGTTATCTGAGCATAGCTGCAACAGACGGTCGCCATTATCTGTTCTTTGAGCCACGACACCATAGGATCCACCTAGGTGTCTTTCCTTATCGCTTAGTTTACCTACTTGAGCATTAAAGTCACCGGCCACTAATACTACATCCGAGCGCTTGGCTTTTCGGAGAAGGTCCGAAAGCTTTCTGTAAAACTCATCTTTTACATCATCTGAGCTGCAGTCAGTGGGAGAATAGGCAGAGACGACGAAGAGGCAACGACGAGTGTCCCTATCTTTCCGGATTCTTACTGTTCCGTTCAGTCGGACAGCGCACAAACGACTGTCTACTGGGATCCACTCTAAGAGAGCTAGTTCTGCCCTAGGACTCAATGCTATACCTACGCCGGCGAGGTCACGGGAAGCAGAATCAGGGCTCCCAGATACACGAAGCGTAAATCGAGTCGGTCCTTTATTTTGGCATGGTGAGGTCAAATGAATGACGCTACTTGGATCCTGTATGCGCGTTTCGGAGACGCAGCACACATCGATGGCACGAGATTCTAAAGTTTTAGCTAAGGAAGCCTGCTGTCCTATTTGACACAGTGTTCGGACGTTAAAAGCTCCTACGTGTAGTTTAGAGCGTGGTTTCAGGAGACCAGGAATGGCGTTCCACGTACTCGAATCGTTTGCCCTAGCGGTGCGAGGTGATAAAGAGACGTGAGGAGGGTTAGTCGGGAGGATAAGAGAGGTATTAGGAGGTGTAGGAAGGATTTGAATGTGACCACCTTGGTCTCTTGTGCTGTTACGGGTATGAGGGCTGATGTCACTTCCCGGCTGCCCACACCGTGGAAGACGAAGCGTTGACTACAGTTTATTATGGAACTGAGTAGATCACTAAGTGACAAGCACACAAAGGGAATTCGAACAGAAATGCGAATGTTAGCGAGCAAATTAAGAGTCGAATGAATTGATAAGATTCAAAGATATATATAAACGTTGCCTCCACTGGGCTTACCTGTTTCTCTGTTGAGAGGTTTGTGATAATTCGGGACAAGAAGACAAGTTCACATTTTCTCTAAATCAGTGTAACGTTCCATAACATTAATTTTATTCCCAGTGTGACATTTTTACATTGGGTTTATAATTAGTAATGGGAACCACTACAGTTCCCAGGACGGAAGGTAAACACAAAAGGCCGGCGCAAAATGAATATTTATTGACTCTCTATAAACACGTTCGCAAAACAAGTAGTTCGAAACCCGTCATCATTTAACTAAATATTCCTGGTTCCTTGATACCTCTCCAAACTACATGCTAGAGCTCGCAATGTTCGGAACCTATGTCAAGTAGGCCAATAGGCCTCTTTAGATAGGATTTTAGATGTTGCTTCAGAACAGGTCTGCGCCAGCGCCTGAACTAGTGATCGGGAGCGGCGTATTTGAGCACACCGGCCATTTTACATACCTCAGAAGTTTCATCAGCATTGATAGGTTGGCATGTGATATAGTCACGGAAAGAATCCAGGAAGCCTGATTAGCCTTTGAGGATTTGTGTTGTCTGTAACGTAGTCGAGGCACCCACCTACCAACTAAACGACTACTACGCTATGCAGCAGACCACTCCGTTCTAATTTATGGGTATGAAATATGCCCTTTAAAATAGAGGATATTCTCAGTTTACTAGTATTCGATCACAGGTGTCTTCGAAACATTACTTGTGTATCTTGGAACCGACGAGTGAGCAGTATTAATGTCAGGCTTAGAATAATAGGTAAAGATGAAAAACTGGTTGATTAAGTGCTAAGTTTTCACCAACTAAGGTGACTGATACATGTGTCACGTACTCTCACCCACCGTCTACTTCGACCAGCGATGTCGCTTAGAGCATGAGTACGTTGGAAGAAACCTAGGGGTTGCCAAACAAAAAGACTGTATTAGTCCATCAAGACACTGACTATTGAACTCAGACATGTCAACACATGAAGACTTACGAGTTTTGGTATGCGGAATTATTGTAAACAATGGTCGGAAACTTGAATGACACGGCTCAAAATCGTTTACAATGATCCAGGTGCATTAACACCTTTTCTCTCCCTATATTTCAATTTTCTAAATTCTTCATAATTTTTTTTATCATCTCACTAATTTAGATCTCGAATCGTATCTTCGACACTGATATTCCTTACTACTATTATCACCGTAACTACCTCTACTACCCTAAGATTCATCCTGACAACTAGACCTCGCTATGCTAACGGGCTATGACAACTTGAACCGATGTACGCATAAGCCAGGTTCTAAGTTCTGTTTGACTGACTGATGGATGTAGTGCCTCAACTTTCCAGACAAAAGCTGGTAGCAGAATGAAGTAAAAACCTCTTAATCCCTTGAATATGTTAACCGACAAGAAACCCCGAAAAAATGTTGATATCACGTTAAGGAAGTTATGAGTTTAAAGAAGCCGAACCAAATAAGAATAAACCCACATGGACGATACTACCGCCAATACTTCGAAAAAAGGATGGTTTTGGAACGGAGAAGGGTAACTGGAGAAGATAGAACTCATATAATTACTATAGGGTAAGTTATTACATCTATTTTTACCATGTAATTGTTAAGTAATTTATTCAAGGTGTTTCCATATTGTCCTATTTGTGTGCTTTTATTTAATGAGTTAACAGATGATATACGTTATAACATTCAAAAATTATTATTAATTAATTGCGGAACTACTGCTGATTTTTGTGTTACTTTTGACTTAGTTGTATATAAACTATAAATTTTTATTTCTGGTGTGCTGTGCTCATGTAATGAATGTATATAACTCTATGAGTGCTTGGGTCATAATAATCGGTTTTTCGGCATGCTGTGTATAACTTCTGATTGGCTGTTAGGGTAAGGGGAAGCTGAGTACTGGAACAGTTGGAATAGGTATTCTTGCGGTCAATCATGGTTATTTTTTGTCAGGTGAATCATGTTCATGGTTAAACAAACGTCACAAGACTAATAGGCGTACAACGTACTAGTATAAGCAGATATATTTTGATTCAGTTTGGTGGAGTTTTTGTATGATTTTGGAGGTCATTTTCATCTTAAAAAGCCATGTACTGAAGATTAAAGCATATTGAACAGTTCTTCCATTTAATTGTGAGACTTTCATCACGCAAGTTCACTCAAGACTGTACTCATTTTCGATCCAAGATCTTGTGAACAGCAAAATACTATTCAGATACTAAGTCGCAAAGCTAGTTTAAATGTTCAACTTCAATAACCAAATAATACTAGTGATACGTTTCAATAGCCGAAATAAAGTGCTTTTAACACAGAAAAGCAGGGTCTAGAGTTTGGATCATTAAATGATACTTGGAAAGAATCAGTTAATCAAATAATTCGTAATCAATCCTATTGAGATGAACAAACTGATTAACCGTGTTAGGTATAGAAGAATAATCTATACATTATTTACATCCCACTGTTGATTATATTAACACTAGTAAACAGAAGTAGTGAATCTTGTCAGGTATAATAAAACCAATAAAACCTTTCATAGTTGAGTCTGTAACCTTGATCCAGACTGGAAAGAAGAGAAAAAACTTACAGAAGTATTCATTCATTAATAAATCTTCGAAAAACTTGCATAGTTTAATGCAGCTCTAATAGGTCCGATGGAAAATAATTAAAACGTTATTAACGTAATTTTCACTCAAAAAGGTTTGATTATGAAGCTTAAATTATCATTCTTGACATCGTCGGTGCTTATTCTGTATGAAGAAGATTCATATTACCTGATAGACTATAGATGTATGATAATAATAAAATGAGTATATAGAAAGGAATAAAACAAGATGAACTAACCTGTATCATCTTATTGTCAATATCCAAAGCTAACTGTAACATTGGTAGAACATAATTACGAAACTCTTTGATTGGGAATTTCTCACTTAATATATGTATATTTTGTAAAAATATTAAGATAATCTGAAATAGAAAAGAAGTTTAACATAAGGGGAAGAGAAGAAGAAATAAACAAAGTAGAAAGACAAGCATTTGGGTTTGAAAGTCACTTAGATCAGTTGAATATCAGTCTCTTAATAGCCGTTTGAAGAAATATGAAATATGAATTAGCCTCGGTTAAAAAGCGTATAATAAGCAAATAGATAAATAAAATTACGGGAAACTAAAGCAAAAATCATCATTTTTCAAAATGAGTAATATTGAATTTAGAAATGTGGACTACTGGATCCAAACCCAGTAGTTTCAATGGTTAAGCACTTGTCGAGAGCTAAAGGCTGGGTTCACCCTCCTCAGGAATCCCGTTTTGAGGTGAAATGGCTGTTTGGTGTTTTATGATTTTTAAAGATACCCTAAATGGGATCAGTCTGTGACGAACACCATGCACAAGTAAATTTAATCTACAGAAAACCCCTCTTTATTAACACAGAAAGTTGTTTTGCGCAAATATACCTTCAATGTATATAATATGATATCACATTATAGTACTTATGAGTAGTCAAACTATTTGCCATACATTTTTTCTAAAACATAATTTTTCGACTTTAGATAAAAACATTGCTGTTCTAAGGTTCCTGTAAGATACTTCTGCTTGATTTTATGTTATAATGTAATAATACAATGGTCAAACATAGGGAATCAAAGACAATTCTCATCTCATTGTAACATAATTAGTGCAACAGGGTGTACACCTTAACAAATCACATGAACCTGAATAGTAAAGTTTAAAAATTCCTGATTACTTATACTTATCAAGAGATTATTGTTGTTCAACGTCATTTCACTTTCTGATTCAGTTTACATTCAGTTGAAATACAAACTTACTTGAATAGGTTCTTTCATTGACATTACAGGAATAAGACGTGGTAGCATATATTGAATAAACTCGTCTTGTGTAACTAAATCCAAAATTTGTAAAACAGCTGGCAGAATAAATGGTACCATATGTGGATTGGAAAAATCTTCAGCGATTTGTGGAAAAACACGAAACAGACATAAACGCTAAGAATAAAAAATAATATATGTATATGAATAATAGACATGGATACAGTGAAGTCATTACATAAGAATCATAGAAAATTCATTTTATCTAGTTAGTTCCCTTTGGTGAACTTTTGTAAAGGAATAAACATTAAACGTGATCAGATGAAGTGAGTTCATTTCGTGTAATATGAAGCATTGATTTGTATAGATAAACAAAATGTTTTACAAATGTAATTTCGGGTGTTATTATTATTAATGGCTTTATTCGATATTATATTTTGATACAATATAGAATTCTGAACACAATATCGTATAGTTCACCCATGAAAAGTAATTATGATTACTTCTTGAATTCATATATATATATATATATATATATTTTCTTAAAGTACAGACTAGTTTTTACGACTCATCTATCAAGAGCCCAGGAGAAATATATATTGTTTACCAATGTAAACTATGATGTTAGAATAAATAAATATTTTTAATATCCCAATGAGTAGAAAATCTAGATTTTTCTACAAATTTTACTTATTTATAACAGTCTACCCAATGCTCAATTTATTCGAAATTATCAAATCAGACCTTGGTAATGATACCTATGATGTTAGAAATTATAATGTTGGACTTAGTGACTCGTCATGGATTGCTGACTGGAATTGGATGGAAGAATATGGGAGGCGATCAGTTTATGACATAGAGCCGGAGTATGAAAGATTGCGTAGGACTTATGAGTTAGGGTTCTGGAGATGGTGCAACTCAATGGCTTGAGAACCCATTAGAAATATCTCAAAGTGGAAAACAATGAGAATCCTGCTGTAGTTTTCCTTTACATTTTTTACGAAAATAAAAAGGACTCCTTCGACTGAAAATGTTTTTCGGTCATATTGTTAACTGAATGATATCTTCTGTAGCGTCATTTTTTCCATGTATTAAAGCTTCCTCCTTTGTGTTCTCTTCAATTGAATGCCTTTTGTTTTTTTTATTAACAATGTTATTTCCGTAGGCTGTGTGGCGCTACCTTGTTTTTGTGCCCAGTTGTATCACATTTTATGCATATTAAATGTGTATTTAAAACTGGCTGAGAAAGGAAATCCGATTAACAACTAGCAGACATTATTATTTAGTCAGAAATTAGATCAACAGACAGCAAATAGTTGCGGCGTTTATAGATATTTGTTGGCTAAAATATGGTGAATATTCAAAAATTTTAAATTGTCTGCATAATCCAAGTAGTTGTAGTTCAGTGAGGAAATACTTCAGGATTTGCAAGTATCTTCGAGATTTAAAATAAACCGTGCTGTGGTGTGAATCATGTGATTTTTTACTAAACTTGATGAACTGAATCATAAAGTGCACAACGCGTAAATCACACAATTATTTGAGACAAATACATCTGCTATTTCATCATGCCCGATTAATTATATCACGTGATACAACCACCAATTACAGACACTGACTTATACGACCAGGCTAATGACACAACAACCTTTACGAGCAGTCTAGAATTTTTATTGGTCCTCTGAAATAGTAGCTTCTCTCCTAACACCACCGGTTCAGTCCAGAAGGTCAATATCAGCCTCCACGATACGAACCATATATTTCAGACATACTGGGTTTATATACAAACAAACCAGAGCGCATCGTATCATAAAATAGAAAATAACAGTCATACAACATCAAGTCAAAAGTGGCTGTGATTGTGATAAACTGTTACCAATAAATTGGGAATAACTTAAGGATAGTTATTCGTATAATCGTAGTCAATAAGTCAAATAAAAGCTTATAATAAAAGGAATATGAACACACATATAATATAGTTACTTAATAGTAATAATATATACATGCCTCCAAATGCTCTGGTACGGCCGAGAGTGGGGAGAGTCAGCTCTCCCTCTCGAAATGCTCTCACATGGTCACGTGCATACAACCATTGCCAGGGAAGTCCTACTCACTGCCTTCTCGCAGCATTAATGTTGTTTATGTAATTGAGAAGACGAAAAGCGAATGTCCGGCAATTCCACCGGTCGGTGGACACGGAGGAACTATTCAAGGGAGTTGGTAAACCCTGATTCCAAACCAATGGTGAACATGGGCTCCAGTATCCTGACGGACGACATGATGTGTGAACCAATCGTTGGTCACCGGCTACCATGAGACTGCATCTCCTGACGTTGCTCCACTGCCTTGTGGATCGAACCTTTAGATCGAAGGCTCTGAGTGTGACCCCCTAAGACAACGACCTGCTTCGGTTTGGGCACCCGGGCAGTATCCCAGCCCTCACACAAATCGAATGTTTTATGTGGCACATATCCACTTAATGCCTCCTTGTACCAGTGTTTATATGTTTAAATAAAAGAAAGTATATATATATATATATATATATATATATATATATATATATATATATATATATGACAGCCTGTAAATAATTCCTAGTAGTTACCATTCCCTTATTCTTTGTACGGATATAACAACATCAAATAAGTATTTATTGAATAATCTGTCCAAAAGACATTAGTATAACAACTGACAAAATGAAATGGCACTATCTTGTCCAAATATAATCAGATTGATCCATGACAACAAAACATTCGGTAGGTAAGTAACCACTGTTATGAGTGGCGATTCAACTGTGAATTAGAAACTTTCGAAACTATCACTGTACAATTTTATTTATGAATAGATTGACTGCATGTTTACCAAGTATTTTGGTTTGTTTAGTTTCGTATTACCCTAGTTCCAAGCTTTTATTTGGACCGTAAATTGTTGTCATAGCATTTTCCACTCATAAACTAGAACCGATTACTTGTGTACTCTGCACTCCGTTTTCCCCATTATTAATGTTATTGTTCCATGTTATTTATGTTACTCAATTAGTCTGCTACGTATGTATATAGATGAATATCTGAAACATAATAACGATTTTGAGACTTGTGATCATAGGTCTAGTGTTCTTCCTATTTGTTCAGAGCTAGTTAGAGTTACGTTAACCGTCAAGCATATAGTATCAGTCCTCCTCGTGCTTGCTGTGTATTGGTTGGTGCTAGGACAACAAATATGTTTGCCCATTATCCAGTCATCTTCGAAACACATAATAAATAGTAGTATTATATACTTTATAATGATACTGTAGCTATATTTTAAAGTTGGGCTCAACGATATGTAGAAAACTATCACCCACTCATAAGAATAACTCACTTTTGGCAAAGCATGAATAGAATTTGGCAAAGATTTATAAAACTGTGATCTAGATAAATTATCCAATTGATACATATTATCCACACTTCGTAAAACTGACATTGATGCGTCTTCAAAATATGTTGTCTAAAAAATACCACAAAAAAACATCATGTATGAAATAAGTATTGGGAAGATCATATAGCTAAGAATTTTAATGTGACGGTGTGTCACGAAGAAACACTTGTCAATAAACAATGAAGACATTTTGATATACCCTAAATTTATGGTGAGATATTCTTAGCCAGCATTTCTTAAACAAAACAAAGATAGGATAGTATCTTCCACCCAGTCCCTACATAATCTAAAAAATAGGCACTGCTAAGATCTACTGCAGACCGAAATTCATTGAAATAAATAAATGTCTATTGCTCATAGATACGTTTACAGTATCCTTGAAGGTAGCTTAAAGGTTTTTGTTTTCAAAACGTAACCAATAAATCAGGAATGAACATTACAGAGTACACAGTGAGTTGGAGAGGTTCGGTGAAGATAAATGGATAAATAAATTTCTAAAAAAAAACAATAAAATGATACATGCTGTAGGCGAATTACAAAGACTTCACAGTCCACAACATATATGGTATCTAAATATGTTAAGCCTGAACACCGGATATTGTTAATATTGAGTTCCTTAACTGACTAACATCCTATAAAACCTCATCAGCAAATCATTCAAGAGGTCGGATATGATTGATATTTCATTTCACGGCAAGTTTAGTTACGGAGGTTATTTACATTATTAAGTCCAACCACAGAGTATTAGTGACCTCTAAGCAGAATTCCAAAATGAGAAATATTTGTAAATTCGGCTGATTAGATTATAAAATAACATAAATAGTTGACTTATGGAGTTTAAAAAGAAATGTTGATTGGGTTAATCTATTTTGGATATTTTTCGGTTTTAATAAAGTTTCCAGAGCTGGGAATTGACATTTTCTAAGACAGTTATTTTAATCTCGCCGAAAAAGCTGTTGTTAAACATTGTATACACATTATTTCAGTAAAATACTTTAATATTTTACTCTGACTGTACTACTATGATATGAAAAATATCAGTCATCATAAGAACATATCGTCAGAAACTAAAACAGGTGTGAAAAATCCAGAAAAGTATATTATTAGCCCAGAACAAATTACTTGTCAGCTGACTATCGACTTTCCCATCGAATCATCAGGGAGTGGAATTCATTACCTCAGCATGTGGTTGGGGCTCCATTCGTCGACTATTTCAAAAGAAAGTCGGATGAACTGAGAGACCATCATTACTAGAACTAACACCGGCCATCAAGCCTCCTGTCCTTTCCAAATTGAAACTGAAATTTGTGAGCAGTTGTACCAAGTTAAAAATTAAATGAGAAACTATTTTATCTTATATGAGATAACTGGAGGGTATATATGAAGAGGGGAAGTAACTCATTTACCAATTACATAATGATGTAATCGAATTTGAGCTACATTTGTTATGTGTGTTTTAGTGATTTCTGTCATAAACCCAAACAGAATTAGACAAAGAGGAGTTTAAACCTACAAGTCTAACAGTTCAAAACCCTCCGTTTTAATTCTCAAACCACCACTTCGCTTTTATTCCAAGTTGTAAAAAAAAGATGAACAATCATCTCGTGCTCATATAATATTAGTTGGTTCATCAAAACCTATCGATGATCTGTTTGAAGTTAATTTTAAACCACTTTAGTCAGTAGTATGTTTGAATTAATGCTAATCATTTACATGTAAAAGTATATTATATACATAAAGAAGAAATACATTTTCTCACAAATTTCTATGCACCATTAGATGACCAACAATTCAAATAAATAATAAAACACGATAAAAATAAGAAAAATGAGAACAATTCAATATCAATATCTTTATGGTCAGTCAGTTACAACGTAGGACCAGGCACATCCATGCATCGGTCCAAGTTGCCACACCTCATCACCACAGCAAGACGGACATCGGATTCATAGAAGTAGTTAATTCAGAGGTGGTAATATATAAAAGAAAGATTGCATATAAGGATATAGTACAGGAAGAAAGAATTAGTTTGTAGAAAGAAAGATATGAAGCGATTTTTAATCTCACGGTTTAAGGGAAGACAAAGAGTATATACACCTACGCCATTGTGATTGATTTTGAGCCATGTCACCCAGAGTCTCCAACCATTAGTTACGATAGTCACGCGGACCCCAACCAAGTAGTCTGCATCTAGCTATCTTTATGGTCTTGAAATAGAACAGTGATTAATTCATGTTTAAATGAAATTCAAAATATCTGTTAGTAAACTAAATATGTCAAATTCTAGTGATTGAGAAACAGTGCTTCCATGTTTTCAATAGTGATCTAACTTAGATCGACTCATGAATTCAACTGTGAAAATACTACAATCTCCATAAATCACCTTACTGAAAATAAAATACGTCACTCGTTCAATTTTGACTCAACTGTTAAGTGGTACTTCACACATAAACATAGGTTCAAGAAGGCACCAAATAGATATGCGCCACATAAAATATTCGATTTGTGTGAGGGCTGGGATACTGCCCGGGTGCCCAAACCGAAGCAGGTCGTTGTCTTAGGGGGTCACACTCAGAGCCTTCGATCCACAAGGCAGTGGAGCAACGTCAGGAGATGCAGTCTCATGGTAGCCGGTGACCAACGATTGGTTCACACATCATGTCGTCCTTCAGGATACTGGAGCCCATGTTCACCATTGGTTTGGAATCAGGGTTTACCAACTCCCTTGAATAGTTCCTCCGTGTCCACCGACCGGTGGAATTGCCGGACATTCGCTTTTCGTCTTCTCAATTACATAAACAACATTAATGCTGCGAGAAGGCAGTGAGTAGGACTTCCCTGGCAATGGTTGTATGCACGTGACCATGTGAGAGCATTTCGAGAGGGAGAGCTGACTCTCCCCACTCTTGGCCGTACCAGAGCATTCGGAAGCAAGTAATACTACAACTTATAGGAAGAGATATTATTGACAATTCATTTAATAAATCTATCTGTATATTGATTATAAAATTTTCGAATAGATTGTAGTTTTTTTAAGAAGGAATCATATTATTTGGAAAGAATGAAAAGATTATTTCATGAATAAGGAATATATATGAAAAATGAATTAGTTATTGTACATAAATCTTACTCTTAAAAATTGTACAGCATCTGGTCGAATTTGTGGATCTGATGACAGCATCATTTTGACATATTCTTTCAGATTATTCGGTAAATCCAATCCTTTGCTGGATAATAATGATGGGAGCTTATTAGAAAAATGAACAAGAATAAGAAAAAAATGTGAAAGTTGTGTAGCTTATTTTTGATGAATTAATGTGTACATTTTTGAGTATTTGTTGAAAATAATTGTTACAATATCAATTGTAAGCTCCCTTTTAACTTACTACTTATATTTGTCTTTTGGGTTGACCATAAGTAAAATTCAGTTAACCATCAATGGGTTATTCGGTTATGTGTCAGAAATGTCTTAATAATGTGCCCACTGCAACCCATAAACTGTAGTGTTATGGTCCAGTATTTTATTTGTTGCGGACCTGAAAAATAGTTGTGATAACAATATGAGCTCGCGACCAGGTATTTGGCCTATGGGATGGATTTAGGAGAGTCAGTGCTTCCATGACCTAACGGCCGTGCAAAAAAAGCGATTTAATGCGGTTCTATGTATGAAAACATTGGCAGCGTGGCAACAAAGAGATTGTAGAACAAAATAATATTTGTATCATTTAACTAGATCGATTAGATGATGCAGCAACGGTGAAATAATTTCAATCTATCTAAAAACGTTTTATTGAAACGTTGATTACAAAGTCATACATACAGACTACAATACTCTCAAAACAAGAATATTGAGTTGTTCGGTCAATCATAGAATTTATTTTGAAGCATGAAGTGAGCATATATTTGATTCATGATTTGCGTGAAGTGAGATGCGTTCTTTGTATCGAATTTATTACTTTCGATGGAAATAAGGAGTGGCAGCCAACACAAACGGTTGATTCAAATGAGCATTCTAAATACGAAATGTAAAAAAGTGCAAGGGCTTTGAGTTTTTACGATACTTTTGAAGTAAGTACGATTTTCTGTTATCATTTCATATACTCATCAATTGTCCTAAATTTATAAAGCAAAGCAGAGAATATTATGATACTTAGAGAGTATTATTTTGTATCATGTCAACTGTCCATCATATTAGCAACGCGCCCGGAACTAACACATCCAGATAGTCCAAATATTGGAAAACTGAATAGCAGTTTAGGTCTAGTATGGAACTTTCTTAACAGTACACACAACCAGACATGACGTTAAGCTCATAAAACTTCAGGCTATGCATAGCCAAAATCTAACGATTCACATTTTCATCATTAATCCAGAACGATCAGTGAGTTATAAATTGATTGGCAACTTCCTTGACTTTAAATATTATTGCTTCTCATTAGAACTTTAAGACATTTATTGTTAGCTAATGTTAGCTTATGTTCTACGGTATGATTGTATCTCAATGGACGCCTCTTAGCACGCGTATGTGCACGAAGTTTTAATGATAGACGAATATGTATACATCTTATGAATATACATAAGTTAATGAACTCATTCAGACAGGTGCTTGTTGGGGCAGGTGACCCTGGGTGGATTAATTGCTTTCTTACTGAGGTATCGCATTTGATGGGAAAAATTACTTCTCAAAGTTTACAAAATCCCCACAAAGTATGTAAATAAAATAGGCTGGGTAACTACATATATATTGTTAGTACAATTCAAACCTCGATGATGTATATGGTTTTTTTTACCTTGATATGTAAACAATACAAACATTTATACATAGTTCATACTTGGTATCAACGAATTTATAATCTAGATCACTAACGTTTCATGAAAGATGATCTATCGTCTAACGTCCAATCAATGATCACAGATCATCGTTTTAATTAAGATACAGCCAGAAAATTATCGCTTACATCTCACAAAAATGACGAGGAAACTGTGAGTTGATCTATCTAATAGCTTAAGGCACCATACATGTGTATTATTTGTCTGAAACTTTGCATCCTTTGCATTCACTGAAATTCCTAATGGGAAGCGCTATAATTGAAGGCTATTAATTCATTCTCCTAATCGTATTCGTACCAATAATAGCGCATTTGTAACATTTAGATCGTTCTTGTTTTGGAATCCCTTGAGTAAATATAAAATTCCCAATATTTGCGTTCTTAACACCAGGGTGTCATTTCTGTTGGTCTAGATATCATCAAATGTATTTAGCAAGGTATTAAACCGGGGTGAACTAACATGGTATAAGTGATAAGTTGTTAGATAGTTTTCGCATAATAATAAGTTTTGTCTCGCTGCTACCTTGACGCGGTGGTCGGGCTTGCCTATCGTGATGACCCAACCGAGCTATACTGGCTGGAACATATGTTCCTGCAGGTTCTACCATGCCAGGCAGGTCGATTGGTGAACGGTAAGACTAAAAGCAGCAACTCAAGGTCTGAGGGCGAAGTCGTACTGCTGACTGTACAGAGGTGTGACAGCAGTAAGGTGTTTCCTTCAGACAACCAGCATGACAGCGATGCTGCCTTCCCACAAGGAGGGGTGGGGTTAGAAAAGGTCGACCCTAAAAATGTCACACCTCACCTTACCTCACGGATTTCCGTCTCCGGCGGTAAGGCCCTTTGAAGAACGTAGCTAACACGTCAAAAACCTTCCACAAAAAGGCCGTGCGCGACCGGCCTCAAGCAGTTGTCCCTTGGGCTCTGCGGTCACGCTCCCAGGTCGTCAAGACCGACACTAATCCAATTTCCTTTTCAGGTTCATCAAGAAATACCCTTCCACGGTGTGGGCAGCCGGGAAGTGATATCAGCCCTCATACCCGTAACAGCACAAGAGACCAAGGTGGTCACATTCAAATCCTTCCTACACCTCCTAATACCTCTCTTATCTCCCCGACTAACCCTCCCCACGTCTCTTTATCACCTCGCACCGCTAGGGCAAACGATTCGAGTACGTGGAACGCCATTCCTGGTCTCCTGAAACCACGCTCTAAACTACACGTAGGAGCTTTTAACGTCCGAACACTGTGTCAAATAGGACAGCAGGCTTCCTTAGCTAAAACTTTAGAATCTCGTGCCATCGATGTGTGCTGCGTCTCCGAAACGCGCATACAGGATCCAAGTAGCGTCATTCATTTGACCTCACCATGCCAAAATAAAGGACCGACTCGATTTACGCTTCGTGTATCTGGAAGCCCTGATTCTGCTTCCCGTGGCCTCGCCGGCGTAGGTATAGCATTGAGTCCTAGGGCAGAACTAGCTCTCTTAGAGTGGATCCCAGTAGACAGTCGTTTGTGCGCTGTCCGACTGAACGGAACAGTAAGAATCCGGAAAGATAGGGACACTCGTCGTTGCCTCTTCGTCGTCTCTGCCTATTCTCCCACTGACTGCAGCTCAGATGATGTAAAAGATGAGTTTTACAGAAAGCTTTCGGACCTTCTCCGAAAAGCCAAGCGCTCGGATGTAGTATTAGTGGCCGGTGACTTTAATGCTCAAGTAGGTAAACTAAGCGATAAGGAAAGACACCTAGGTGGATCCTATGGTGTCGTGGCTCAAAGAACAGATAATGGCGACCGTCTGTTGCAGCTGTGCTCAGATAACCGCCTGTTCCTTGCAAATACTAACTTTAAGCATAAGGAAAAACATCTTTTAACATGGCGACCCCCTAATTCGTCCCAACGTTGGACCCAAATAGATCACATCGCTATCAGCAACCGATGGAGGGGCTCGATAGAAGACTGTCGCTCATTCTGGAGCACATGCCTAGATTCAGATCATGCTCTAGTGCGAGCGCGTATTTGCTTGCGTCTTACTGGACGTAGGAAAGACGCTGCAAGAAAACCTCTTAGGGGCCTACTTAATGATAGTCAAGCTAAGAGTATATTTCAGGAACAACTAGGAAAACAGTTAGACAGCCATGTATGTGATGCCCACCCCGATGCAGCATGGAATGATATCCGAAAAGCTGTGGAAACCGCAGTGATATCTGCTAGTAAGGTAAACCAGAAGGTTAGGGAGCAACACTGGATCTCAGCAGCATCTATCTCACTGATAAATGCTCAGAAACACATTCCACCTGGCTCTGAACATAATGAAGAGCGGAGTCAGCTTAAGCGCAAGCTGACCAGAAGCCTACGCAATGATCGCGAACAGTGGTGGGTGGCGAAAGCAAGAGAGATGGAGAAGGCAGCGGCAATAGGTAATAGCAGACAATTGTTTAGACTCGTTAAGGAAACCGGAATTAGGAACCCGACCGTTAGCGAAACAATCTCAGAGAAAGATGCACATATTATTCATTCTCAATCCAGGAGATTGGATCGATGGGCAGAACACTTTAGGGATCAGTTCAACTGGCCTTCAGCCACACTTCGGTTTCTAACGATCTCTAGTCAACCTGAATGGCAAGTTAATGTAGGTCCTCCGACTTTTTACGAAGTTGAGAAAGCCATAGGAAATCTGAAACGAGAGAGAGCAGCAGGCCCTGTCAGGTTTACTCCTGAGATTTTTAAGGATGGTGGTCCAGTATTAGCAATGAGATTAACCGAGGTCTTAGGTAGAATTTGGGAACTGGACGTAATCCCATCTGACTGGTCTCAATCACTAATTGTGCCAGTCTATAAAAAAGGACAAAAGTCCTCTTGTGACAATCACAGAGGAATCAGTTTGACTAATATAGTGTCCAAAATATTAGCTTCAATAATACTTCGACGCCTAATCAAAGCTCGTGAAGAGCAGACTAGAGAAAACCAGGCTGGTTTTCGACCTGGACGTGGTTGTATAGATCAGATATTCACACTACGTCAGGTTCTAGAACATAGACACACATTCAGACGCCCCACAATGGTAGTATTTCTCGACCTTAAGGCGGCATTCGACTCCGTTGATCGTGAGGTTCTATGGCAGTGTTTGTCACTGAAAGGAGTACCAAAGAAGCACATTAACCTTATAAAGGCTCTCTACTCGAACACAACTGGTAGAGTGAGAGCTTATGGCGAACTGTCATCAGAATTGATTACCTCAAGTGGTGTTCGTCAGGGCTGTCCACTCTCCCCATTCTTGTTCAACTTTGTCATTGACGTACTTTTAGAGATAACACTTTCCTCGTCTAGATTTCCAGGGGTTGAACTTCTATCGAGAGGTTCACTTGTTGACTTAGAATATGCTGATGACATAGTTTTATTTGGTGAAGACGCTGACAAAATGCAGAGTCTTCTGACCACTCTAAGCAACAATGCAAGCATGTTCGGGATGCGATTCTCTCCCTCGAAATGCAAAATGTTGCTTCAGGATTGGGTTACATCGATACCCGGACTAGTGATAGGGAGTGAAGTAGTTGAGTGTGTCGACCGCTTCACTTATCTTGGAAGTCTCATCAGCCCTTGAGGTTTAGTGTGTGACGAAATCTCAGCACGGATACAGAAGGCTCGACTAGCTTTTGCCAACTTGCGCCATTTATGGCGTAGGCGAGATATCCGTCTATCAACCAAAGGACGGGTTTACTGCGCAGCAGTTCGTTCCGTCCTACTTTATGGCAGTGAAACATGGCCGGTAAGAGTAGAGGATATCCGTAGGTTACTAGTATTTGATCATAGGTGTCTTCGAAACATTGCTCGTATATCATGGGACCATCGAGTAAGTAACACAGTTGTTAGGAAACGGGTACTAGGTAAGGATGGCAAATCAATTGATGAAGTAGTGAAACTTCATCAGTTGAGATGGCTGGGACACGTGTTACGTATGCCCAACGACCGACTGCCTCGACGTGCTATGTTCAGTGGTATAGGAGTAGGTTGGAAGAAAGCTAGGGGCGGCCAAACCAAAACATGGCACAAGTCCATGAAGTCACTGACAAGTGAACTGAGTCATGTTGGTAGGTGTAGACTACATGGTTGGGGACCGCGAGATGATAGCAACCGATGGTTAAAGACCCTGAATGACATGGCTCAAAATCGTTTGCAATGGCGCAGGTGCATCCACTCTCTGTGTTCTCTCAAATTCTAATCTTCTGAATTCTTCATGTCCCTTTTTTCCTCTTTCCAAATTTATTTCACTGGATTATACTCTTTAAATAACATCTCCAAACCCTAATCTTCCCGATTACTGCTTATACTCTTATTACCTCTACCACTATGGGATTTGAATCGACAACTGCATCTCTGTGCTAATGTGGTGTGGCAACTCGAACTGATGTACGTACGTACGAAGTTCTACGTTGTTACTGACTGACTGACTGACTTTATATGGAGAGAAACTTATCGAATAGCCTGCAGTTGTGTAGTTCTGACGTTTAATCCAATGTAATATTGATATATCAATCCAGTGATCATCAGAATAGGCAACAAACAAAAACTGAGTACGTCGTCGATTGAAACCTATTTTTTCCCGAATTCAGTGTCACAAACGGACCTTTTAAGAACAAAAAATTATTCGACGTGGATACTGACAGTTCGTACACCGCCAAAGTTAATTCACCTACCACCTATTCTTATATATCTCTTATTATTTTATGCATATTTTCTATAGTGGCTTAAGATATTCTGGTTCACGATTCAAATAATCAACGAACAAGTTTCTAGGTTGCTTTTTAAATCCAACCCACAGGTATGTATCAAAAACCCAGAGGAGTTGACGGAAAATATTAAATCTGAAATTTTCTCCATATTTACTACCATATATCTTTGAAAAAACATTATCGCTCTTCAATGGAGTAGTAATATCACCAAAATATTACTAAGTAATAGTGTATCTTTGCTCGACATACGTAATAATCACAAGCCAAAAAGACTAGGTAGATAGCAATGTCAACATTTATCCAATATATATTTAATACTACAATAAAATCCCATATATTTATTTGTATCTCACTAGATCTTTTTTGTTTGCTGTGGAATACTTAAACAAAAAAAACTAAATATGCACAAAATTCTCGTTTAAAAGATCATACTACTTACTTGTTTAATAGTTCGTTTGTAAGCGTGATAATCATCTCCAACATCCAAAATGGATTTGCCACGATTGAATAGTGCACAGATTAAAAGACCGAGCGAAAACATATCACTTGCACCAGTCACTTCACCCTAATAATTTTAATAATATAAAAAAATACTTTGGGTGTTGTGAAGAATTTGCATTCTTTAAAAAATGATAGGTGAATTACAACAGAATAAATTAACAGTTTAAGGGTTGTGGAGATTGTTAAGTTTTTGATTGAGATCATGAACCGATTGATGTTAGACCACCATTGAAAACCTGGAAGCACTAGACGGCCGTTTCGTCCTATTGTGGGACTCCTCAGCAGTACGTATCCACGATCCTGCTCGCGGGATTCGAATTCAGGGCCGCGAGCGGGATCGTGGATACGTACTGCTGAGGAGTCCCACAATAGGACGAAACGGCCGTCTAGTGCTTCCAGGTTTTCAATGGTGGTCTAACATCAATCGGTTCATGATCTCAATCAAGAATAAATTAAGTATGGATGGGGTTGTTTCTAAAAACGAATTAGTAAAAGGTATCACATCGCATATTATTATAAGGGCTCAAGTTCTTGTTAAAAGAGAATCTTCTATGTCATCAACTATGTGAATTCACGAAGGAAGTTATTGTGAATGGACTAAAGTTAACATTTAAACTAATGTCAAGAACTCTGCCCCATAAAACAAGCTTAAGAGTCAACGAAGTTAAAAGTATATTTCTCGAAGTGATCTGCCAATATAGAAGCGTAAAAACCATTAATCTACATTGAAAACAGTAGAAAACTGAAACGGGTAGCACCAGAAAAATACTTGAAAGACGGGTAGCAACCTGAAAAGGGAATATCGCTTACACAAGCATCGTTATTTTTTGTTAGACAGTAGTAGCTTTTAGATATATTACAATACTAAAATTTTGAACAGAAAGACTAAGTCTAGTTACCTGTTCAACAGAAGTTTTTAGATGATAAACACCCCCAACCAAAGTAAACAAAATGAAGTACTCCATTTCGATAATCGCAACATGATTATCATGAAATGATAGCACCAATCACTGGTTTCACTCATATAGTAAGTACACAATTATAAACTTGGATTTGAGCCACACTAATTGTGTGGGGGCTAACAATACTACCCGGTTGTCAAAACTAAAATAAACGGGGCAGGGTTCGAGCTTGTGGTGCACCAGTTGAAAGCCAAGTGTTTTAATCAGAAAGCCGCCGCTCTAGGACCTATATCAATAGGGTTTCGAATCCGACCTATTAAGCATAAATCTATGACGTCTTAGATAGGTACATCTGTATTCGAAAACTTAGACGACACACAGTCATTTCGTATGACATGTCTAAACCCTTAAAGTTATCAGTTGCCAAACAATCAAGTCATCTACATTTACAAACTACTCTCCAAAAATTAACAATTCAAAAAAATAAGTAGAGCATTTGATAAGATATTAGATATGTAACAGAACAACCGTAGAGAAGTCTAAACTAATAACTGACAACAGATTATCAATATTTGCCGATTCTTATCAATAAGAAATCGATGTACTCGTTTAATGAATGCAAAGAAAAGTAAAGCATAAAATATATGGACATATATATATGTCAGTCAGCTACAATGTAGGACCAGGCACATATATACATCGGTCCAAGTTGCCACACCTCATTAGCACAACAAGATGAACACCATATATAATGTCAGTTCATTAAAACTATTGATTTGAGACAAACATTTCATTCCCAGTTCAAAACAACTAGCTTATGCTGTGCAGAAGAGCAATGAAAAATCAAGTTCGTTCGTAATGGAAGAGCTTTCTACATAAAACTCAATTAAAAAGAGGGGAAATATTAGAAAGAAGTGATCATATAACCTAATTAGTTAGATTTGTTGGTTATAAAAGTTTAACTTTATGATACTATTAATTCTGTTCGTACATTTGGTCACTGATTATTTAATGTGAAGTACTGGTCAGTTTAAATTACTCAGATCTGACTGTTTATCAATGTAAATGAAACATAAAAATCAGTGTATTCAGGAATAATTTTGATAATAATAAATTTTCATCTATCGTTTTCGCCTCCTCCTTTGTAACGAGCAATATCATCTCTTTGTTTATAACACTTTATGGTATATTGTTCATAAAATATCATTTGGTTTCTGTATGCATATATATGATTTAGAGAACACACTTCATCGAGTATAAAAGCGGTAATTTTAACTGTTGATAGTATAGTTTTGCGATGACTATAGGTGAATATAACCAAGTGATCAAGCGACAGACAGACTTAACAATCGTTTTCTTGGATAAATTGATGGTATGTTTTCATCAGCTTAATTTATTCTGATATCTACGTTTCAAGAAATAATCTTTTGTACGAGAAGGATAAGCATTTTCATTTCATCGCTTCTGTGGATCACTTGCTTCTGTGAAGTACAGTACATCAACCATACCAAAGGGTTGATTTCAACACAGATATAGGCGCAAGTTTTAGCATGATTTCAATTAAAAGTAACAAGAAATCTTTCGGAACCTGTGATCAAGCTAACCAACATACTGTTTTTGACATTGCTAATAAGAATTAATCAAAATCATCCGAAGCTACTTCCTTTTTAAATTTTCATGATAGCGGAAGTTTTAACAGCGTACTAGATGAATGTTCCTTTGTTTATGGAAACCTGAGCACGTCTCACCTACTTTATTTTGAGCATAGATTTTACGCAACTCGTCTTCCATATACAAAAATCGGGGCTTGAAGACTGGTACATCAACATATGTTGAGTTATATATATATATCATCTAATTCGTCACCGATCGTCATACAGTCTGTTTGAATTGCTTTCCTGGTGCCAATATGTTTAGTTAATTGGTTACCGTTCACAATACATCATGGTTGCAAACTCACTCCTTTTCCTTGACTACACTGCTTGTTTTCTGCCAGGTCACAACTAAATCTGTAGTAATGTTTCATAATTCAGTGTCTCAATACTACTCGGACATATAAATCTGTAACGTGTACATATCAATATTACATTTAGAAGCATTATTTTGTAGTTATGGTTTTCGAATATTTAACTAATGGTATGGTTTATTAGTTTTTTACATGTTATTTTGTGTTTTGACTTGACATGATCAATCAATCGAAGGTTCATATACCCAACTTTGAGTCCCATTTTGTGTGTGTGCATGAGAGCTGGTTAAACTGTCCGGGTACGTGAAGTGACTGAGGTGGATTGGTGTTTAAACGCGAGATAAAGTGCTTGGAAACCGAGTTTTTTACTACTAAACATCACCACCATCTCGGAAATCCTGTTTCCCTTCGTTATTTTTCTAAATTCTACAGCTTACCTATTACAATTAAGATAGGTTTGAAAATATTTCATATTATGAATACTGATACTAACTAGTTATTGAAAACCGAAGAACCAGCAAGCAAACGGGTTACAATTACTGAAATTAGTTAAAATTTCATAATTACGTTTTTTTAAGCGTCAAGTTGAGAAATAAGTTTGTTAATAAACTACTCATCTCTCCGATGAATTTTTCCAGAAGTGTTTACATATTTTTTGATATAATAACCACCATTTATGGCAGAAATGAACGGTTTAAGGATATGTGCACCACAACAAAAACTTGGCGATTTCATGGATTATGAACACTTCACATTGATATATACAACCAAAACTGTACAAGAAACAAGACCAAGAAATATAAATATTGATGGACCAATTGTATTAGACAGTTAATGGAGGAAGAAAGACAAAAGAACCAGGCACAAACGAAAAGGAAAGTGGGGAAATCTCAGAAAAAATTTCAACACATAATTCGAGCAATTAACAGGTGTATTTTAAAGTGTCTCCGCTTAAATTCTCTAGCTGTTACGACTTGATTTATGTTACATACACCAGTTGTGTTAAATGTCTAAATTACCTAAATCTTAAGTATCTAGATCACTGTCTTTACACTTTGACGATTCCGAAAAACAGCGAAACAAATATTTAGTGCTCTCAGATTTCTAATGGTTAGCTTCAGCTGAAACTGAGTTTATGCCAAAAACTATCTTCGGGTTACACCAAACTTTCATAAACCCCTCATTCACAATGTAAAATTCGTGAGCATAATCCAAAAGAATTACTTACCTGAAGGATCGCCTCAGGGCTACTAGCATTAAGATTCAATTGACAAGTAGGCATTAAATTAGATTGCCAAACAGGTATTTTGGCAAGAGATTGTCCTGATTTTTCGTTCTGGTCTGCTACTTTTGAAAATTCGAACCCACCAAGTTTCCAAATACCAAAACGATTGATTACTACTGATTCAGGAGTCAAGTTTAAGTGTAAACGATGACAATCAGAGTGTAAAAAATCCAGTGCCTCTGCAAGCTGAAAGTGAAAAAGAAACGCAATCGAATTCTTTCAGGACCGTAACATCTAATCATCCATATAGTGTTGACTAGGCTAGAGATCATTAAGTTATGGAAGTATTTTTGACGCAATCAAAGAACGAAATGTATGTATGAAGCGGGTGGAAGGTGATGATCAATGTCTGGCTGATTAATATTAATCGACGAACGAAACTGGGATTTTCTTTACAAAGGATGAGCTGAGTTGTGGAAAGATTAGTTTAAAAGTCAGTAAGGTACCGAAAGAGTTTAGTTTGGACTTCAGGAAGTTGAATTCGCCTAACTTTCCAGATAAGGTTGATTAGTATATAATGAATAAGACTTAAAAGCAATTTTCAATTATCATCATTATAAATCATCAATCAAGTACAGCTTCGTGCACTTGGCTTTGAGCCATACTGCGAATGTGAGGGCTAGTGATACTACCCAGTGCTCAAACCGAGTTACATGGAGAGGGTTAGAGGCTGTAACTAAGTGGCCGAAAACTGAACCCCTTAGCCACTGAGTCAGCACTTCACAACTTCTTATACATTACTTCAAATAGATAACACAAAATTGTGTACTTTAAAAGAAATATGTAGTGAAAATGTCAATACGTGCTATAATTTTCATATCGACGACAGCCAAGAAATCTTTGGTATATGAGTACAGAATCAAGTGCTTCGTCTTACTCGTTATGTTTGCGTAAATGACTGACCTAAATATGGTAGCGCCAAGTTTCAAGATTAAAACATAGCTTTTAAAGATAGCTGAGTGACATGATAAAAATGTTTGACTGAACGAGGAGAGGTTAAAGAAATAAATGAATTTTCCATGATTTACATAAACATAAAATAATAAATGGAATTTTACTTATGAGGCCTATTTTGAGTCACATAAGCGAAAACTCCCTAACCATGAATCTTAATTATCTCGCACACTCCTACCAAAGGACCTACTTTCCCGCAAACCTTGACCAACAATTATGGGCTTTATAATTTGAGAAAACTTTTGGATTGAACCATTCTTAACAAGACTACATACTAACCAACGTAGCAGCTAGAAGTACTCTCAAAATAAGATGATCGCTGGTTGGCTGTTATCCACTATAATTTCGATGTTTGACTGGTAGTTATATTACATTGTTATAACCGATATTTCAAGACTAGTTGAAGTAGGTATCGAGTTGTTGATGAAATTCATGGAAATCTCTGTTAATTTTGTTTAACTTTTATTGGTGTATAAAACGAAAAAGGCGTGAAGTATTGAATACATATATGAAACTAAATGACTGTAAAAAATATTTTAAATTACCTGCACCAAACCATATTTAATCTCAGTATCTGATAAAGAAAAATCCATAGACTCGTTTGGCTGTCTAATGTTTGAAGAGTCTCTTGTCAATACACTATTTAGTGAAGTAAACAATGGTTCCGTTGCATAAGCAAGACTTTCACGTGATTCCTCTAAAGGCTGAAGAACTGATACTATTTTTGGATGCTTAATCCTCATCAACGTAGACACACCGTATTTAAGTATTTCAATCATAGATTCTCGTTGCAACTTTGGATAAGACTCTAACAATTTTTTTTCCATTATCCATATAGTGGCTTCCTGTGATAAGGGACGAAGGTGATGAGACTTACTTGATGAGTAGAACGTTTTTTAGCTGAATACAATTTCCATAATGAACCTGGACCAGTTTGACCAATTTGTTTTTCAATGTCATACTCTCGAGTTAACGGATTGCCAGGTAAGGCACCTGATACTTTTGTTTTTAATTTGTTGAACACAGAGTCCATCTGCAATATTATAGACAAAACTAGCATAAAGATGAATGTTTATTCGCTATATTGACAATGATGAAAATTAGGCCACTTATGAGCCGCAAAATAAAACGATACATATCAAGAATAACGAGATGAATCACTTTATTCGGTCTGTATGAGAAAGTTCCACTGACTCAATTGAATCGTATGTGTAAATAAGATCCTGAAAGGCTTCACAATGAAGTTACCTAATACTCAGTTTGATATCACTGTTATTTTTTCAAAAAACATAAAGAGAGAGTACCTGATGCAAGGCATTAAAAAAAGGTCCAGAGGAACATTTTTATGGAGAAACAAGAAAAAATCACATAAAAGTAAGAACACGAATACTAAATTACAAAACCAAATGAGAACGGACAATTAAAAGCACACTGACGGAAGGGTCGTACTTTCCTGTCTTAATGACACAGTGAAGTTAGATCGGCTGGACTCCAATATCTAAAGTTTTGGAATTCTTAAACATTCTCTATGTTTGTCATTGAGATATGGACATTATCGCCATGATATGGGCATGAAATAGAATTCGTATATTTAGCTATATTCGAATATTATGGCAGTGCAACACATTATTGGGCTACCGGAGTTTAAGTTATACACATTCCCTTCCTCGTGGGCGGATGGAATTCAGTGTTACAGGCAAACCAGTGACCAGTAGACATATAGATGACTATCGAGAACCGAACTTAGAACTGAACACAGAAGAGATTGTAGTCACAACTGGTGGAGCTGAACCTTATCCACTCATCCTAATTCACCACATTATATTGTAACCGTACTTTGACCCTAATAGATAACCGTGGTTCCTCAAGGTCAGTTTGGTAACACCCGAAAGGCACCCACAGATTATGACAACGCTTAGGAGACCAAAGAGTAACCCGAATATACGTAGACTACAAGTCCAAAAAAACACTTTGTCTTATGACGCTAAAGTCGATAAACAACATCTATAACAATGTAGCTTCTCAGAAGTAGTCTTCAGGAGCATAAAAGACAAAACTCAGTCAACAACTTCGTTTTCCATTGTAGGCTGACATAAGTTAACATTTTTGGAGCAGTGATAAGCAGTTATAAATATAAATCCCAAAAACTGAATATAGTGAGCAGCTTGATCAGTTCCCAGGCAACCAATAAAGGGGCAATAAAGCGGACGAAAGCGTAATTAAAAAGGGGAATATCGACATTTTGCCTTCCCGTCGATTATTTAGAGGAAATGTCGATTTTCCCCCCTTACGTAGTGTATTTGAGAGAGATTTGTAGACAAATATCCGTAAAGTACCATGTTTGGATATGGCGCCTCCTGTACTTATGTTTCCATATACGTATACAAAATGACGTACTGTTTAATAGAAAATGAAGATTCTTATCACTAACAAAAGTGAGGTAATGCAGGCACATGGATTTGCCTCAGATGCTTATATTTTTACTTTGTTGTTTGTTCAGCTAAAGTGTTCGTAGGTGTTTGGTGGCCATCACATATGGCTTACGAGATGCAAGTAAGTGGCATGGTCTCTGTCCTCTATGTTCACTACCACTGTCCTATAAGATACGTCGACATCACCGTTCGAGTCCAGGCGTGTATGCAGCGCGTTTGCGTCCGAGTAAGTTACGTGTCCGATTGCGTTAAGTTTTTGAGATTAGATAAGCTCCATACTGTACTGCAGAACACATCGCCCGGTATTTCCGACTTGAGTGCCAATATGAAGCAGCTACTTTCAAAGTCTTGTGAGCGTAAACACCCGCGAAAATTTGATTGCGACTGTCAAGTCAGCAGTTCCCTTTATCATCTGAAGAGGAACTGGGAACGTTGGACGTTTGTCTTCAGCAGGAAGAGTTAAGTGAAAGATCTGTAAGCCAATAAAGTTAATTTGATCATTTATTTTTATTACAGATGAGCATATTGACGCGCTTAATGGATGATAATCGTTAAACGGCAATCGATATATTTTGTCATACATCACAACACCTGAAGTTGCCGGTCATTTCACGCTACTTGGCACTTCACCGAAAGGAGAACTTCAGAAGTGCAGGTTTTACGGCTGCTTACGAAGTACGAAATGTTATTTTTTAAAATTCAGGTGCATTAACTAATCAGTTCGTCATCAACTGTCAACGAAAAAGACCTTGCAAAACTGTACGATGTCGCGACGCAACGCTATTTTCACGACATGAGAGACAAATTACAGCAGCGTTGTTGAGGAAAACAAGAACAGGTATGTACTAGTTTAGTGTGATAACTACTCTCTGCTGCTCTATAGGCACAGTCTTCAGTGTTAACGAACATAATCTTAAATGAAGCTTCAAGTAGCTAGTTGTGTAAAAACATGTCATTTAGATATCGTTATAACATTTTCTGTTCTTTACATTTCAGAATTTACAGGATTATTTTGATTCGCAACAGTCAAGCAGACATTACAAAAATAAATAACCAGTGGAATATTTATCATGTTCAATTTAGTTTTCGATAAACAATCTTTAAACATGCACTTACTTTCTTGCTTGCATATAAAAGTCTTTAACTAAGTGTTGGGAAAGCCGGTTTGATTTTAACTGCACTTGCAGTTAAGTACATGTGCCCAACAAGTGACTCATAACCTGTTCTTTCTTTTGTGGATCTTTTCAAATTAAAATAAAACTTGGCAATTATGTAATGACTGATGCTCTAGCATCTGCCAACTACTCATGATGTCTTACAGTATTACGTATTTTTCTTTTCAGTAAATTTCGTGTGGTGTTATGGAATTAAAGGCGAACTCACGAGATGTGTGGGGATGTGACAAAGGTGTTTTAAAAGTGGAAGGCAAAAAGTAGACAATTCAGTGACGTTTGAAAACAGAGCGACATAAAGGGGAAAATTCCCATCATTTCCAACGAACAGTCGAAAAAGCAGACATTTTGGCGCGTTTCACCAATAATTGATCTTTATTTCCCAACGCGATTTCCCCTTTGTTCGCCTTTATTTCCCCTTTATCGGTTGATTGGGTTGGCGAGAAACGCACTTGGAGTAGAACCCTCGATGAGGTGCGCATTAGCTCTCGGCTCAAATGGCTTCCAAGTAATAGAAATTGCCTAACAAAAGGCATTGGTTCAGACAATCCATTATTCAATAATTTTAAATCGATGGCCGACTATCTTGCCGTGTTGTTACAGTGAACTAGCTTCAGATTAAACCGCACGTGAAAGAGTCACTATTCCATTTATTAATAATAATGCAACACACTTTTATAAGACGAATGATTTTCGCATCCACTTCTAAATGTCAATTTACGCTTTAGGGACTTAGTTTTATCGAAACCATCTCGGTAAAAAAACACCGAATTTGTACATATATTCTTCAATTAATAACATTAGTAATCATTCCAGTTGTTTTTGCATGCTTCTTGTTATTTACTAATAAGTTACTGTTTGAATATCATCATTTGATTTCCCAAGAAGTCCTCACCATTTGCTTGATACGGTCATAGTTCAGAAAACACGGTGCAGTTTATATGATACTTGTTCGCGTTCAATCAACTCTCACAATAGGGGACAAAATTAAGGCTCATATAGAGGAATAATAAGGTTACTGTGAAATATGGTGTCTGTTTCACTGGTAAGATTTCAGTCACACTCTCCTGAGATCAGTACTTCAAAAGACGGTAATAGCCATAATCTTCCTTAAAACAATGTTGAAGGTGCCACAGGTATTCGGAGTTTGACAACGCTTTAACCAGTAAAACCTAATATGAAGCGTACCCACTAAGTGAAACCAAGAGACAGAAGCGATGAGGTTCAAAGATATATTTGATAGGTTATCAATATATCGAGGATCGACTGGTCTAATCTGGCTAACGATTGCAGAAGATGTTGAGCACGGCGTTCCCACTCGTGATCTGGTACGGATGCATGACCGAGCGCCTTCAGTTAGGTAAGTCCATCAAAACTAATGTGGTCAGCATCCAGTGTCGAAAACTTACAGAGCTATTTATTTTGGGGATTTATATACCGCTACGACTTAAAGAATGATCAAAATTGTGCATAAAATGTAAATAAAACGTACTACACGGAGGGTAATAGAAACGCGTATGAGCACTGAACAGTAAATAATAGCAAACTCCCCCTAAATCAAACAGGAAACATGCTTCAAAATCAACCTCACGAAATAGAGGTTTTCAGTTCACAAAGTATCAAGCGAAGTGTGGTAGTCCAATATCACAAGTACCGTAAGGGCAAAGTTAAGTAAAACAAAGATAAAATGGTTATTGAAAAGCTTACTCCTACCGTTAATTTTTGGTACTTGACTTCAAATTAACCATCAAAAGGTTACCTTTATGAATCACAGAATGCTTCGTCGAGGTCCTATGGTAACAATAACAATAATAATTTATACTGAACTAACGGTTTGTTACATGAGGCATGCCAGTTTACGGGCAAGATCAAATTGTTATGAAAGATACAGTTTTCACTGTAGTAAATTACTCAGCTGTGTTGATATTTTATAAGACATGAATGTAGGTGGCTTTAGTAAGACTCGTATTGTCAATATCACAGTTAGCGCGCTTAATGAAGGTTGCGTTGCGACGTGCAACTGATGGTCGAGAATAGATCCATGTGAAGTTGAGGCTCCTAGATACCCCAAACTTGAGATAGTCATGACAATTTGATCCTGAAATTAGATAATATCTGGGCATTCGTTTGGGGTTTATTGATTGTCTAATTCTTATTTAATGAGCCACAGTCGATACTTGGGGAGCACTCTAGAATCTTCTCACGTAAAAACTATAAATATACTATCGTTTTTCTTATTGCGCTTCTTACTTCCATCTGCCCTTGTCATTTGTAATATAATTTCTTTCCTGTTCATCTGTGTTCTGGTCTAGGGACTTGTCGAGTGAATTGATATCCAAGAACACTACGCAATAGGAATAGTTGGGTTGTAATAGTAGAGAATCATAACAGGGACGACAGGAAAAAAGAAAAACAAATTCAAGATGTCCA